GTATTCCTACTCAGAATGAAAGGAAAATCCACAAAAACAACTGAAAATATTCTCTATCTCTGCTACAGTGGTTCTCAAAATTTGGCACTACATAAAAATTAATTGAAATCTTATTTTTTAAATGCATAAAAAGCATAATTTTTGCTCAACTGAATCAGAATGCCTGAGTGTGAGCTTGGACTGCCATATAGATTCTGATTCAGCAGAAGACTATTGGGGAGCTGGGACCTAATCTCTCAGTTTCCCTAAATTGAGCAATTAAGAATTTCCCAAACTGCCTAGCTGGTGTTGCTCAGTAGTTGATCATCAACTTATGAACCAGGAGATCACAGTTCATTTCCCCATCAAGGGCACATGCCGGGGTTGCGGGCTCAATCCCCAGGTTGGGGCAGGCAGGAGCCATTAATGTTTCTCATCATTGATGCTTCTGTATCTCACTCCCTCTCCTTTCCTCTCTAAAATCAATAAAATATATTTAATTAAAAATAGTAATTACCAAAACCCCTCTCCCTCTCCACACTCTATGATTTTTCACATGATTCCAAACTTTCAAGAATAAACCAGGATACAACTAATCTATCAAATAGGCGATATATAGAACTTATATATTGCTGCAGTTGTTCAAAAATTGTCCTTCAGAAGTGATAAGGAATAACAATGTTTTCATATATACATCCTCACATTGCTACATATTTATGTCTGTGTATATGTGTGTATATTGCTCTTTATAATAGTCACATATATAATATTAATAGCTATTCTGTATTCTCTATATAATAGCTATATGTAATAGTTACACATATAACAAATACACATATTTTCTCATGTGAGATTTAAATAAGTATACCTCCAGAACAGAACCCGATGTCTGAGTCAAAAATGTCTGACTTAGTGATTAAATGAATGAGCGGTGAAACTTAACCCCTCCAAAAGAAAATTTTCAATTGGTTCAAGCTCCCTTCTTCTCTAAAGCCAAGTCAATAGAAGAAATCTATTTCGCCTTTCTTTCTTCAGGCTTTGATGTAATCTATCATAAAGTGAAATATTGACTTTTATTATTTTTTAATTTTTTATCACTAGGAAAACCTATCCTTTAATAAATTGGTTATTTACTATTTCATATGAGACATCCAATTTCCATCCACATCATATTAAAACTTCACCCCAGAATATCAACCAAAAATAGTTTATTTTAACCCTAGCCAATAGCTGAATTGATTGGAGCATCATTCCATATACCACAAGGTTGCTGGTTTGATTCCCAGACAGGGAACATACATAGGTTGTGGGTTTGATCCTCAATCAGGGCACATGTGTGAGGCAATAGATTGATATTTCTCTCTCTCTCCCTTCCTTCCAAAAAAAAAAAAAAAAAAAAAAAGGGTGTGTTTTATCTTTTGGATGCTAAAGTAACCTGTTGACTTGTTTTTTTTAAGGCCTTGAACTGTTTTCTATTTGGAAGGGTTTTATAATAAGTTTCATTTGTATATTTAAAGAAAAAAAATCTTAAGAAACCAGTTTAATTAACTAAACAAAGTTATTCTAAAAAAAAAAGTATAATAAATGAACTTTTACAGAATTTAGGAATTCTGACAAATATAATCTTTAAAATACAGGAGTCTGGAACAGACTCTTAGAATAGTTAGTTAATTTTCTTCTATCTGTCTAGGACAATGACCTGATGGTTAATCATCATTGCACTGATAAAAAAGAAAAGCCAACTATCTATTTAAAAACAGACTTTAACAACAGGGAAAGGGATGGACTTCTTGCTGCTGCTGTAGGACTCTGAGTTCAGGTAAGAGCCTTTCAGTTTCTCTAATTTCAAAAATTTTTACTATGTGAGAAAATTCCACAAATTTCAAGGACAAAATATAGGATGTCCCCCCAGAAAATGTATACACACACTTAGAATTATAAAGGAAGTGTTTATTAACATACATTTAATTTTCAAAATTGAGCTATCAGCTGTAAAAGTATGTATATATTCTGAGGAGGACATCCTGTATTTTGATGGACATGATAAATATTACACACTTTGTTCCTGTGGCTGCTATACACTTATGTTCAAAACCCTTAAAACCTATTAAATATCCATTATGGAAATAGATGAGCCTCTAGTTCTTATACTCTTTAAAATAAAATACAGATAATCAGATATTCATCATTTAAATATAAAGTTTGAAACTCTGTTCCCATTACTTTCTAGAGAACTGGAATTTCAAGTGTGAAAATGGGACTCAGGTTATCTTCTCAAAATATGTTACAAGTTAATTATTCTGACTAACTCTATGCAATTATTAGACCTAACCCCTATTTCTTTGAATCAATATTAACTGTATATAATGTAGGGTGGAGAGTGAGTTGACATACATCAAGAAATGGAAGGGGTCCCAAAGTCATATGCCAACCTCTTGTTTCCTCTCTTCTACTCAAGTTTAACTCAAGATGAAGAAAAAAGAACGGTTTTCCAGATCATTCTATCTCTTATTAAAAGTGGGGGGGGGGGGGGGGATGTTCAGCACAGTCTCTGATGCAAACTAAGGACTCAATAGATGTTAGTTCCTTCTCTCATTCAGGAAGGTGGATACCTAATAAGATGATTGTTATTGTCAAAGTAAGATGGGGGAAGTCCCTTCATAAAAGGGCTGAGAAGTCAGTGCTGTTTCCATTTTTCTCTCCTTACTTTCACAGGTACAATGTAGAAGTTGTGACACTTGCTTACACAGATTTTCTACGATCGATCGCTCAGATAGTAAAAGCTTTACAGAGATAAGCAGGGACTGGTGAGAGTCTGCCCTCTGCTCCATGCAAATCAAATTAGGCAGAACTGGGCTGTTCTGCTCAGGGACGAAAGAGTTGCAATGCTATATCTGAATGCCTGTGCTCCTATCTTTTAAACATAAAATTCGTTTATATATCATTTGTTTGCAGCTCTCAGGGGGAAAAAATATATGTCCACAGAAAACTATGTTTTCAGGCTTAAAGCCAAGCCCATATTGATTGGCCAAATTTCTAATTGCTCTGTAGTTACTAATTACAATTTAATCAGTCTAAGAAATCAGGGTAAAGTTGTCTGCATTTCCAACTTTATTTTCTGGATATTTTCCCCAACATCTAGGAGAGAAATATGGACTGAAATGTGGGAAGAGTAATGACTCCTTTACATGGTATATACTCCAGGGAGCCACAGTGTGGGAGAAGTTATTTCAATGGGGAGTAACTGGGAACATATCTAAGAGGAAACTTGGGCCAGAATTACAATCAAGAGGTGAGGAACCCTGAACCTTAAGGTTCAGAGGAAACATATAGAGGGCTGGGAGTTTTTGTTCTAGGGACGGTGGTTTCATGTGGCTAAAGATGTTTGTGGGTGGGGTATTTGGGAAATAAGACTAAAAGAAAAGGCTGTGTTTAGTTTGTGAAGTATCTCAAATAGAAAGCATGAATTTTATCTTGTATGGTATAAGGATCCTCTGAAAGATTTTGATGACACATATGACATGCATAGGGTATTAAAAAGGCCAAGAGACAGGATAATCATAATTTAATCAATTGCAAAAAGCAAGGCTGAAAGTGGTGAGATGATAGTTTACAAGAATATTTGTTCAGTAAGCAAAAATCAACATAGAAACCTAAAGCTAAATGGTGACTACCCATTTTTCAAGTCACTCATAGAGATTTGCAATGATAGAATTAAGCAACAAAACTTTATTTTCTAATATTTATATCCTGAAAGATTCAGGAAGAGGTGTTGATGAAAAAACATGACAAGAAATTTATCAAAAGGCCGCTTATGACTTTGGGGCCGCCCAACTATTGATTTTACCCTCACTCTACTCCACTCAGTAATTGCACAGGAGCACATGGAAAAAAGTGGAATAACAGATTAACATAGATGTACAGAGGTGTGAGTTTCGCAGTCATGCCTGTATTATTCACATACATAAAAGTGATAATATTTTCACCCTGCTGGTGTGTCTCAGTGTGTGAGCATCCACCTATGAACCAGGAGGTTACTGTTCAATTCCCAATCAGGGCACATGCTCAGGTTGTTGGTTTGATCCCCAGCAGGAGGCCTGATGTTTATATCTCTCTCTCCCTCTCCCTTCCTCTCTAAAATCAAATATATATTTTTTAAGTGGTAATATTTTCAGATAGTGATCATTTATACATTATTCAATAAATATACATTATATATTCATGATATTTATATATTTTATATTTATATATTTATAAATATCATGAATATATTTATAATGTAGGGAATCAATGTCTTTGTTGAATAAATTAATAATATACATAAGCAATCTTCATTATTTGTAGATTCTGGGTTTGCAAATAGGCCTACTTATTAAAATTTATTTGTAACCCCCAAATCAATACTGCACAGAATGACAAAAAAAAAATTGAGTTGTCCAACACACATGTCCCCAGTTGAGGGAGAAAAAACATGTGATTCTTCCTTCTTGTTTCAGCTCTCATACTGTAATCAGGTAGCCTTTTCATGAATTAGTGCCATATTTCTCTGCTTTCTGTTGGTGATTCTACTGTTAGAACAGCTCCCAAGCATAATGCTGAAGTGCTGTTTGATATTCCAAATGCAAGAAGGCTCTGATGTGCCTGATGTATGTATGTTATGTAAGCTTCACATGTTTTAAAATGTTTGTTCATCGAATCTAGTATGTAATTCTATGTTATCTTATATGTCCATTGTTTTAATTTATTTACATAAATTTATCTTTCAACTAAATTATAATCTCCCAAAAGCTAGGACTCTGTGTTTTGTAAGTGTGTGCCAACATTCACCTCGCCCAGACATAATAGACCCTGAATGAATCAGTGGTTTATGGATTGATGGATGGTGACCTTGATTTTCTGATTTCTGAATTGTATATTGTTAAAGTGTAATAAATTAATCTCTTTCTTCCTGAATAGGTCATTGTTTTTGACAAAACATCGAGGACGATTGAAAAAAGTCACATAATACCTGGAGTTCAACGATGGACCCAAATCAAGATTTAAATAAGACAGCAGAGACACAACCATCAAAGCAAGAAAAAAGTAAATGCTGCGATGGATTCAAGGTGGAATGAGTTTCATGTTTTCAAACTAAAATAAGTGAAAGGGAGATTTTTTTCTTTAAATAAAAGGCTACCAGTTTTTAAAAAAGAGCATTATACTTCAAATTAGTTTTCAACTGAAGCATACATTGAAATATTAAAAGAGTTATCCGTATCTTCATTTAAATCTGAAAAAATATATTTTGGTAATATTTCTGATGGCTAAGAGTTTACTAATGTTGTTAACTATTTAGAGATAATTTGTTATGTTTTCTTTGGTTCTTGGTGGGCCAAAAGATATTTGTAAATGTGATTAAAATAAAATTGTTGAATAATGGATATGTAAAAATAGTCTTACAATTGACCTATAACCAGAGAAGATTACTCAGTCTTGTGAATTACTTTGTAGTCTTGACCTTTTAGAGGCCAGCATTTCTTATTTTAATAACTTACATATTGTCTGATAGAAAAGAGATCTGCAGTAACAATCAAAAGACTTGGCCTAGTTGCTGACTTAGGAAAGCCATTGAATGTTTCTATGTGCAAGTTAGAAAAAGTAATAATCTTGCTTTTGCCACAAAACTGTGAGACACTAGATAATATAGACCACATGAGGGGTCTTCATAGACATGAAAATGTACTCCTTGAAGGTACCAAGACTCGGGAGACATTGAATATTTGCCTCATGTCATATAACTAGTACATTGAAAAACCTTGAACCCAAGTTAAAGCCTTTAAACCCCATTAGGGAAGTTGTGAGGAAATTAAAAAAATCACAGCTGACTTTTTACTCCTGGTTTAATTTTCCTCCGTCAAATTTGTTGTCTTATCAAGCTGAGATGGAGGTGGGCAAAGGCAGGCTGGGAAAAATGGGGAAGAAAAGAGATGTTGCTTGGGGTGATGGCGACACAAGGCAATGTGAAGATGTTTTGTTGAGTGTACACTTGAGACCTATCTGGTTTTGTAGACCAAGATCACCCCAATAAATTCATTTTTTTAAAAAGACCACAGAGATCATTTTCAACTCCAGTAATGTTATATAAGTTATATAAGGTCTATTTTAACTTTGTGCAGGGAACATGACTTTTGTTTGTTTGTAGAGATTGCTGGTAAAGTCTGTTCTGATGAAATATTTGAATAATATTTAAGCAGAATGGCAGTCACAAGGAAAAAGTATTGGTTAATGCAATTTTATTACATTCTTCTGTCTGGGGGTAATGTGCTATGCTAGATTATTTCTGCTTTTAAATATTGAGGGTTACAGTGATTTTATTTGCACATGCATAGCAAGGCAACAACAAACTGGCTGAAGCAAATAAACACAGTGGTCCTTTGTAGTATTTGGAGAAAAGTTAACAAGTTAGCTCTAGTCTGTTTGTACAGTAGATAGAGTGTCGGCCTGCTGAATGAAGGGGCCCAGGTTCAATTTCAGTCAAAGGCATGTGCCTTGGATGAAGGCTTCCAGCCCTATTCGGGGTGCACGTGGGAGGCAATCAATTGATATGTCTCTTTCACAGCAATGTTTGTTTTTTTTTCTCTCTCTCTGTCTCTCTCCCTTCCACTCTCTCAAAAAAATAAAAGAAAGGTATCCTCAGGTGAGGATTTTTTTTTAAGTTAGTAGTGTATGTAAAGTTATTTGGAGGCCAATAATGAAAATCGGAGAAGCAATAGTAACATTAATAGCTAAAATTTATGGAACACTTACTATATGCCAGGAACTATTCTAGTGTTATACTTAAATTTATTTACTTCTATTTACTTCTTGAATTTCTACCATAATTTCTTACCCCAATTCTGTCAGCCAGATGCTATTATCTCCCTATTACAGATGAAATATATATACAATTTGCTTATTAAATTGTTTATTCACAAAGAAGTAATCTGTACATTTTAATGCTATATATAATGCTGCAATATGAATATATCATAATTTATTTCTCTATGGTCATTTAGATTATTTTCAGGAATTTTATATTATAAATAATGTACATATGAATATTCTCATGCTATATCTCCTGGTATACCCATAGTTTTGTGTGTGTGTTGTTTTTTTTTGTGTTTTTTTTTGCCATTACCTTTGACTGAAATTGCTAGAATATAGAGTATGTAAATATTCTATATTTGTTCCTCAGTTTATGTTGTATATTATATTCCAAAAACAAGTGAGATCATGTAATATTTATCTTTCTCTGACTGGCTTATTTAATTTAGCATAATGCTCTCTAGTTCCATCCATGCTGTTGCAAATGGTAAGAATTCCTTCTTTTTTATAGCAGCGTACTATTCCATTGTGTAGATGGTACATTTACACAATGGTCCACTTCTTGATTCATAGATAGGTGTCTTCTCATTGTGTCTTTATATGTTGGAAAAAAATGCATGAAAGCTCTCTGGGTCTTCTCTCTCTCTCTCTCTCTCTCCCCCCCCCTCTTTCTCTTCCTCTCTCTCTCTCTCCTTCTCACCTAATGATATGTTTTTATTAATTTTAGAGAGAGATGAAGGGAGAGAGAGAGAGAGACAGAGAGAGAGAGAAACAGAGCATAAGATTAGGACGGTAAAAAGAAGTATTCCTGGGGAAGGGATATCCAGTGGGGGAGGCCAGGTTATTTAGGGTGCTCTAGGCCATTGGAAAGACTAGAAATTGCTGTGACTGGGCTGGGAGGAAAGGAAATGTTGGCACCTCTAATATTGTTAGGAAGACTTTTTCTAGATACTGTGTTGAAAAGAGAGTGTAGATGAGAACAGATGCAGAAAGATCTATTAGGAGGTTAACGCAGTAATCCATGCTAGTCACTGGTAGTATAGGAAGTAATGAGAATGGCTTGTCTAAGTCTGCGTGACCTGCTCTAACAGAGTACTGTGGGCTCTGTGGTTTAAATAACTTAAATTGACTTCTCACAGTTCTGGAAATTGGAAGACTGAGATCAGAGTACCAACATGGCTGGGTTCTGGTGAGAACCCACTTTCTGATTGTCATATGGTTATCTTTTGGAGGGTCTTTGCATGGCAAGGAAAGAGAGAAGCAAACTCTAATAAGGACAATAATCTTATCATGAGGGTTTCACATGATAAAGAGATTATGGTTTCAACGTATGAACTGAGTGGAGGATAGAAAAACATGTAATCCATAACAAGATTAGATTTTCATACTAGAAGCAAAAGGAACTTACCAATATGAATATGGGCTGTAAGAAGGAGGAATGAATAAATTTTGTTAACATGAAATTGAAAATAAAACATCTATACATGTACATATGAATATTCTCATGCTATATCTCCTGGTATACCCATAGTTTTGTGTGTGTGTGTGTGTGTGTGTGTGTGTGTGTGTGTGTGTGTGTTTGCCATTACCTTTGACTGAAATTGCTAGAATATAGAGTATGTAAATATTCTATATTTGTTCCTCAGTTTATGTAAACCTCTGAGTTTTTTTGCCATTACCTTTGACTGAAATTGCTAGAATATAGAGTATGTAAATATTCTATATTTGTTCCTCAGTTTATGTAAACCTCTGAGTTTAAAAATGCTTTTTAGAATATTAAATGTACTGCTTTGTTTTCTTCATTTTAATTTGGATTTCTCAAATAGCAGTGGTGTTTAATAAATGAAAACTTTCCATTGTTTTCACCTTGCTTTCCTGATAGTGCTATGTTTGAGAACTTGTAGCCTTTATCTTCAAAGTTAGCCTATATACTATTCATTTTGGGAATAATAGCTTATCATCATAGCCATCTCAGACTATTATCTAGTTTCTTATCAATCAGTTCATGACATTAATTTAAAAATCTGATGTTGTAATCATGTTAGAAAATGATGCTTTAATGGTATAGTGATGCAAACATTATACTGAAAAAGGACTAAGAAGTACCAGTTGGTACAGAGGAAAGCTATGTTTTTTATGATAAAATAATGTTTTTAAGTAAAGAGGAAAGGCTACTTTAATTGACATATAAACATGACGTGCTGTGAGTAAGCATTTTTCCTTTCCCTTCTGTTTTTCTTAGATATTCTTGGCAGCCCTCTCATTCACCTTTATTTCCAGGGCACTAAGTGGAGCCATTATGAAAAGTTCCATCACCCAAATAGAAAGGAGATTTGACTTAACATCTTCTGTTGCAGGCTTAATTGATGGAAGCTTTGAAATTGGTAAGTTTTATTTCTCTTTTGATTATTACTTAGTAACCAGATTCACAGAGGTCAAAACTTTCCATATATGCTCTTCACCACTGGTTCTCAGTAATGGATAAATTTGCCTCCATTTGGCAACATCTGAAGACATTTTGGGTTGTCATAACTGGGGGGAGGGGCTGCTAATGGCCTCTTGCAGTAAAAGTCAGGAATGTACTGAACATCCTACAGCACACAAAGCAGCCCCAACACTGACATCCCCCCCTAGAATGTCTATAGCATAGAGATTGAAAAATCCTGATTTATACAATTTCATTACTTACAAAAAATACTTTACAGGGCTTTACCTTCCCTCTCTCAAGATTCCCTAATGGGAAAAAAAATTTTTTTTCTAATTGGAGAGAGAATTATTATTTTGATTATTTGGGGAGGGAAGAACAGTTTTAGAAGAACCTCTATTAAGTGTCTACTGTTTAACTGGGTATAAAATTTGTGTTAAAAGTTTTTTTTTCAGACCCTTGCTTTGTTGTCTTCATTTTGATTTAGATTTTTCTCATAGTAATGAGGGTTTTATATAATTATTGAACATTATTTTACCTTATTTTATAAATTGGAACTCATTGACTCTGCCCATTTTTCCTTTTACTTTACTATCATAGTCAAGTGATGATTTGTCTGAATATATAATTAAAAGTTCAAAATCTATTTTTCCTCAGAACATTTAAAAACATTTATCTACTGTTTTATGTACCTAATGTTGTATGGTAAATCATTACCAGTATCGTTGTCAAGCACTGACAGGTACCTCCTCTTGATTCCTGAATTTCAGAAATTTTACCAGCATCCACCCAGGATTATGGCTTTTACATTACTTATGGTGGAGAAATTTTCATCTGAAGGCTTGAGACTTCATTTACTTCACTGAATTTGTTTTACAGTTTTGCATTTCTTTCTTCTCCTCCATTTTCTTCTGAAGCATGTATATGATGAATATTAAATTTTCTGGCTATTTTTTCTTTCTAAAATTCTACATTTTTCTTTATGTTCCAACAATATTATTTGATGCTGTTTCTCATCTTATCCTATCAAGCCCCAACAAGTGCATTTTAATGGTATTTTAAATTGATAAGACTTTATTATTCTCTTATTATTTTTAGCTTTTCTGTTCTTCTTTTATGGATATCCACATAACTCTAAAATACTAAATAGGTTTTTTCAGTTTCTCCTCTTTTTAGTTTGTTTGTTGTTATTGTTGTTGTCTTGTTTGTTTGTTTGATTTTAACTATTTCCTCACAGGTTACTTGATCAGCCAGTTCATTTCGGTGGCTCTTATTTCCTGCTTTTTTTTTTTTTTTTTTTTTTTTTTACCATCAAATGTTCAGTAATTCTTGGTTGTTGTCTGTTTGTTATTATATTTGTAGCTTAGATGGATCAGAATTAGTTGTGACTCCCTCTACTTGGAATGCTCTTTTCCCCCCTTTTCATGTAAATAATTTATATTCAGTATTCAATCTCCTGACCCCTCCTCTAGGAAACTTTTCTGAAACCCTTAATTAATTTAAGCTCCCCCTTTTTGTGGTCTAATAGTACATCTGTCTATTTGTATGTTTTCATCATTGGTATGTAAGCATCCTGAGGACAGACAGATATCATCATCCGATATCATGGTTCATTTTTATGTATCTCTGGATCCCAACCATGGCAAGTATTTAATTAGAATTTAAAGAATGCTAGAGTGAACAAATAAATGCATGAATGAATACCTTTCCCTCAGGTCAGAAAGTTTTTCTCCATTTTTCTCCATTCCAGTGCAATCCAGTTAACTCCAAATTCTGCAATAAAATATTGCTTCACTAATATTTCAAGTAAGTCAAGAGCTTTTTTTTTTTTTTGTCTCTGAAACCTATTCTACTTATAATTGATACCATAAAACTTTACAGTGAGTGGTTTATTATAAGTGTGTTTCATCGTCTCAATTAAATTGCATGGTCTTTGAGGGATGATACCATGTTTCATACTCTCTATGTGTGTTCATTCTGGGGCCTTCCATTCTACTGAACACAGAATTAGACTCAGTTTTTGCTACAGTGAACATATAAAAATAATGTTGTCCTCTTTCTAGGAAATTTGTTTGTGATTGTATTTGTGAGTTACTTTGGATCCAAACTACATAGACCAAAAGTAATTGGAATTGGTTGCTTTATTATGGGAATTGGAAGTATTTTGACCGCTCTACCACATTTCTTCATGGGATAGTAAGTATTAAACAGATCTGTGCCGTTAATTATCATTTACTTGTAAATTAATGGTAGAATTAATTTTTTTTCCTTTTAGATAAGCAGTCACCTTTTGAGAGCAATACCCACTAAGTATGTGTAGAAGTAAAGTTTATTTTGTATTCAATAGTTAACTCATTGCATTAGATACCCTGGCTTTCACTGAATTTGAAATGTAAATAGCATTGAATCAAGTGTACAGTTTTATCAGAAATAACTAAAACCTCTAGGATTTTTTAGTATATTCACACCTTTGCCTACAGGATTTTATATATTCAATAAACTTCACCACTCAACCTACTGCAATAATGTGAGTTTCTCTAGTACCATAGCCATTGAGAGTGTTCTTCCTAAAATGACTGTGTAATTAAAATTAGAGTCAGGCCTGGCCGGCATGGCTCAGTGATTAAGCATCAACCTAAGAACCAGGAGGTCACAGTTCAATTCTCTGTCAGGGCACATGCCTGGGATGTGGGCTCAAGTCTCTATAGGGGGCATGCCGACACAGCCGATCAAGGATTCTCTGTCATCATTGATGTTTCTCTCTCTCTCCCTCTCTCTGAAATAAATAAATAATAAAAACCTAGAGTCAGATGTTAACAGAGGTGGTTTAAATAAGATAGAGGTTTATTTTTCACACACAAAGTTAATGTGGCTGTCTCAGGGCTGGTAACTCCGTGCCTCTTTTTATCATATTGCTCTGCAATGGTCCAAATTGTGGCAACCTTGTTCCAGGCAACAGGACAGAGGAAGGGGAAGAATAAGGAGAAGGAACAGAGTATACACAGCTTGGGAGTTAGGGAATATTTTTGGAAGCACAGCCCTTCCTCTGACTTCACATTGGCCAAAACTTATTTATGTTTCACATCCAGATATGAAGACATTAGAAAAAACCAACTTTATTACCAATTGGCATGCTTCTAGCTAAAAATCCCACCCTCTATTACAGTGGAAAGAGAGACAATGAGCAATTTCTGCTAAAATCATTAATTACCTACTCATTGCCAAAGCCAACAATCATGCCTTTGGTTCCATATTAATTCACACACACCCCATATTTGACTTTCATAAGCACCTTCTTCTTCCTGGTACTTCTCCTTTTGATTTTCACTGCATTATTTTCTCTTGACTTATTTTCTATCTTTGTGGTTTCTTCATCATGCTCACCTTTTTCTTCAGCTGCTAACACCAGACTATCAGTTATCCCCTAAATTCCCTCTTTAATCTCCTTCACTTTTCATTCCAGATAATTCATATGGATTGTATGCATTAAATGCAACTGTCACCTATGCATGGTGACTTTTCCTTACACTCAAGATCTAAATAATCAACCACCTCATGAGCATCTCCAATTTAACATCCTACAAGCATTTCCCATCCATATATTAAACACTGAATTCATCCCTATACCAAAATCAGCTCAGATTTTTTACATTCACTCTTTCCATGATTCAAATTTACCCACAAAGAAACTCAAACCAAAGTCAAGGGCTTCATTCATCCTAGACTTTTTCTTTATTTCAACAACAAATGACCAGTGGTCACAAAATCTTGCTTATTCTGTCTATATGTCCAAGTTGTACCATCCTCTCATCCCATTGTCCCAACCCTACTTGAGGCTTCCCTCCGTTCTGGCCTGGATGGTTTTGCTGCCTGTCTATCTTCCATTCTAACTCATATTCTATATTAGAGTATTAATTTTTAAATGCAAATTTAATTATTTTATCCCTGCTTAAAACTCCCATTTTCTAGAGAAGTGTATTTTTAAACTTCAGATTCTGAACTACTAGTGGACCAAAAAGTTGATTCAATTAATTATTGAAACCAGCAATAGGATAGGATCGAATTGAATAAAATAGAAGAATATACAATGTGAATAGAAACAAATATTGTTGATTGAAACTTTCGGTTGTTAGTGTGTAATGTGTGTGTGCATATGTACATATTGTGATTGTGGTACAAAATGCATTTCTTACTGTTGGTCACAGTAAAAAATATTGAATACTGCTTCCCTGTGGATTAATATCTATACTCATTTACATATACAGGTTGTTCATTGATATAGTCCTTATCTATCTTCCTAACTTCATTTTATACTGCTTTCCATGGTGTTTCCTACTATCTTGAATACTTTATCTAGCTATTAAACTCCTATCCAACTTCAGGATTCATCTGACATGTCATCCTCACTGAGAAGTATTCTCTAATCTAATTCCCTTGACCTCAAGTAACGTGTATCATTCCTTTTTTCTTGTGACAACTCAGGATCTGGTGTATTAAATTTAACATTTGAATCATATTTGTTCATATTAGAGAGTGTCAAATTCCTTAAGAATAAAAACTATGATTTATCTATAGGCTGTGTTTGTTTGTTTGTTTGTTTGTTTGTTGGAAATGAGTATAATATCGAGCTCATGAGGTGCCTCACTGTTTTTGGATATCAGATAGTCCCCATTCTAGCTCTATCAACTGTTATTCTTAAGTTCTTCCATATCAAATGAAAATGAATTAGAACTTTTAAAACTAAGATTGAAGAGTCAGGCTTATAATTGTGTGTGTGTGTGTATGTGTGTGTGTGTGTGTGTGTGTGTGTGTGTGTGTTTATGAAAGAAAATATAACAAATTATTGATAGAATAATGAGTTGTTCTGAGTTAGTATGTATTACTGATTGATTTGGAAAAAAAACTATTCCAAAGCTTATTAAATATTAGAAAGTTCATCAGGTAGTTTAAATTGTGACTATCTTTGAAGATGATTCAAAGGGATGGAAGGTTCAGTAAGAAGATTGTTGTTGTTTTAAAAAAACAAAAAGGCATAAAACCAATATATTTCACGCCTTGACCAGTTTATAAACACTCCTGGGATGGTAGTAACAGGATAATCCTTGCCTGAGGAGTAGTAAATGCTATTGCTTAGAGAACACCTCCATATCGCTTTCATTTATCACCTAAGATAGAAGCTGGGAAGTGGACAAAAAGAATTCATATTATTTGGAGAGGAAATAAAGAGGAAAATTTCTCTGTATTTCTGGGAAAATTAAAAATATTCAGTAACTAAATAAAAATTTAAATCTAGCCCTGCCTCGGCAACTCAATTCATTGGAGCTTTGTCCTGATATGTCAATGTTTCAGGTTCAATCTCTAGTCAGGGCATATATGAGTCAATCAGTAAATGCATATATGCATAGGTGGGTGCAATAGTGAATTAATGTTTCTCTCTCTCTCTTTCTCTGTATTCCTCTTTCTTTAACATCAATAAACATTTTAAAAAGTTAAATCTAATGATGTTCTTATAGTTACAGGTATTCTAAAGAAGCCTATTTTAATCCACAAGAGAACTCAACATCAAGCTTAGCAACCTGTTCTATTAATCAAAATCTGTTACACAAAACATCACCTGAGAAAGAGGGAAAAGGTAAGAATTGAATTGACACTAATGAATATTAACATCACTAATAAATATTCTAAAATTTATCAACTAAATTATAATTGTAAAAATGATTAGCAAAATTGATTTAAAACAAATAGAAAAAGGAGGACGCAGCTGGAGAGGAGGAGAAGGCTGGGTGCATGCCTAGCGTTCCCTAGCAGGAAGGAAATAAAAACCCCGGCCTGGGCTGAACCCCAGAACCGGCAGCGCTGAACCCCAGTTATGGGCCAGTCCCTGGGGACCCAGGCTTGAGCAGGGGGAGACGGGGCTGTGACGCGGAATCCCAGGGGAGCGGCGAAAAGCAGAGCCCCCGGAGTCGTGCACATTGCGCGCAGAGGACGAAATGTTGACTCTGATGCTAGATTCCCCTGGCGGGAAGAAACAAAACCTCCAGTGGTGCTGAGCCCCACTCCCGACTGCTCTGAACCCCAGTTCTAGGCCAGACCCTGGGGACCCAGGCACAGGCAGGGGGAGACGGGGCTGTGAGGCGGAATCCCAGTGGAGCGGCGAAAAGCAGAGCCCCCGGAGTCATGCACATTGCGCACAGAGGACGGAATGTTGACTCTGATGCTGGATTGCCCTGGCGGGAAGAAACAAAACCTCCTGCGGTGCTGAGCCCCACTCTCGACTGCTCTGAACCCCAGTTCTAGGCCAATCCTTGGGGACCCAGGCTCAAGCAGAGGGAGACGGGGCTGTGAGGTGGAGTCCTGGGGGAGCGGCAAAAAGCGGAGCCCCCGGAGTCGCGCACATTGTGCGCAGAGGACAGTCTGTTGACTCTGATGCTAGACACCCCTAGCGGGAAGGAGGAAAAAAGCTCCAGACTGGAGGAATGCGACGAGCAGGAGCCCCTGCCAGACATCGGCCAGCCAGGAGCCAGCAAGGAGTCGGGCAACAGGAGCCCCCAGAGGGGGGGTGCCCCTGGGCCTTTGACCGCTGAGCGCGGGCCACGGAGCCGAGGTCGGGGGCTGCTTCCTGGGTGGTGCCGACCCCTGCAACAGGCTGAAGCAGCACTGGAGCCCGCAGAGAACAAAGGAGTGCCACAGCTCAACCTGCTGAGCTTCCAGGACAAGGAGGAAGAAACCGAAGAAGTTTGCAATGTGAAGAAATCAAGTGAGAGCAAAAGATAGTAAAATTTCTTAAGAAAGAATATAAAGAAAATCTTGAAAAATCGAAGACTAAGTCAGAACTCAACTCAGCAGCCAACATTGCAACATAAATGCGTGTTTTTTTTTTTTTTTTTTTTTTGTGTGTGTGTGTTTTTTTTTAAAAAAAGGACAGAATGTTGGAACAGCGGTGGCCAGGCCTAGAGTGGCCAGGCACAAGGCAATGGCAGCCGGGCCTGGAGCAGCAACAGCCAGGCCCCAGAGCAGCAGCAGTCAGAACCAGAGCAGCAACAGCCAGGCCTGGAGCAGCTAGACCTGGGGCAGTGGCAACCAGGCCTAAGGCGGAGGTGGCCAAGCCCAGGGTGGCCAGTCCAGGATCACCCAGGCCCAGAGTGGCGGGGCCAGGAGAAGCCGGGTCCAGAGCAGCCTGGTCGGGAGCAGTCAGACCCAGAACATCAGCAGCCAATCCTGGAGCATCCAGGCCGGGAGCTGCCAGGCTCGAAGTGGCCGGGCCCAGGGCAGCCGGGCCCAGAACAGCCAGGTCGGTTGTGGCCAGGCCAGGAGCAGCAGCTGCCAGGTCCGGAGAAGCCAGGCCCGGAGTGGCCGGGCCCGGAGCAGCTGGGCACGGAGCAGCCGGGAGGAGTGCAGCCAGGCCCGGAGCAGTAGCTTCCAGGCTGTTAGCGGCCAGGCCCAGAGCTGCCGGGTTGGGTGTGGCCAGGCCCAAAGCAGCAGCTGCCAGGCTGGGAGCAGCCGGGCCCAGAGTGGCCAGGCCCAGAGCAGCCGGGCCCAGAGCAGCCAGGTCGGGTGTGGCCAGACCCGGAGCAGCAGCAGCAGCCACGCCCGGAGCAACCAGGTCGGGAGCGGCAGTGGCCAGACCCGGAACAGCTGGTTGTGGAGTGGACCAGAGCAACAGAGGCCAGGCCCAGAGCAGCCAGGCCCGAAACAGCTCGCTCCTCGCCTGCCTCCGCCCCAAGGCTGCCTCTCAGACATGGCTGGAAACTTTTGGGGGAACTTGAGGGTCTGCTGAATCAAGTGATGAAGGCTTAGATCTGGATGTGTTGAGTTAGTATAGCGCTGGGGTGTTGATCTGTGAGTGCCTTGTGTGGGGCCTGGATGGGGTTGGTTGATCTATTGGGAAATGTCTTTTGTGTGAAGTGTATCCTTGGGCATGTGGAGGTATTATTGATTTGAGAAAATGCTAAGTAACTGATTTACTATCTGAAAAATTTAAAGTTCTGAAAGTTTAAGGTCTCTTGCCAAAAAGAGGTTTTAAAGCTAACACCTTAATTTTAATGGAGAAAGGGAATGACAAGCTCTTCCCACCCAGAACAGGTAATCCAATTCCAACCAGCAGCTAAGTTTAAACAACGTGTCCATTTACACTTGAATGGCTACACCTTTTGATAGCCTAAGGGCAAGTTTACATGTAAATTAGTTTGCTCTCAATTCCCAGGGCAGAAAAAAAAAACAAGGTTTAAAATTATTAGATTTTAAAATTTATTCTTAGAAGTGTAATAGTTTATTAATTAAAAAAACAAACAAAAAAAAACCAACAACAACAAAAGGAGATTGAAAAACCTGATGAACAATAATAGCGGTTCATTGTAGTAGAGTCGGTGATATGAGAGGGGAATGGACTGACTGTTCTGGGGGGGGGAAGGGAGGGAGGAAGAGACTGAACATAAATTGTGCACCTATGGATGAGAACAATGGAGGGTGGGGAGGGGACGGAGGGTGGGGTGGGAACCTGGTGGAAGGGAGAAGAAATGAGGAACCTTTGTAATAATATGAACAATAAAGATTAATTTAAAAAATAAATAAATAAAATAAAAATAAAACAAATAGAAAAAAACACTTGCATTTTACAGTAGTGTTAATATATAATATATAAAGAGCTTTTAGGAAAATAAAAAAGAGCAATATTTTGGTAGGAAATAGGAAAAAATATGTGCATTTAAAATAAAGAGGGAAGTGAATACATGTATTAAAATGTAACTACTTTTTGTGAAACAAATGGGAAATTGTTACACCAAGATTTTTTTTACCTATTAAAACACAAATCATAATATATAATTACAAATTATAACACCCATTAAAGATTTGTCTACCTAGTATGAAAAGATTAAAAATAAAAATAAATGAGATAGAGGAAAAGATACATTGATGTTTTACTGGAAATGTATAACTCTCTCGAGGTTAATTTTCAATATAATAAAGAACAAAAATATGAATACCTGATTAAAATAAAACACTCTCTTGCCTACATAGGTTGGGAAAAGGATTCTGACTCATATATATGGGTATATGTCCTAATGGGTAATTTGCTTCGTGGAATTGGAGAAAGCCCCATACAACCCTTAGGGATTTCTTATCTGGATGATTTTGCTAAAGAAGGAGAGACTTCTTTTTATATGGGTAATGTACAGAACAATATTAGATTCTATGATTACTTTCCCTGGGTCTTCTATTGAAATAATAGGGTTTCTTAATTTATTCTTTTTTTCACTTTTTATTAAATTTATTGGGTGACGCTGCTTAACAAAATTATACAGGTTTCAGGTGCACAATTATATAATGCATCATCTGTATGTTGTATTGTGTGCTCATCACCTCCAGTCAAGTCTCCTCCTATCACCATTTATCCCCTCAAATTCTCCTCCACCTCTCCTTACCCCATCTTCTGGCAATCACCATCAACCATTCTTTTATTTATTCAAAGTTTTATTTGGAGCCCTAGCTGGTTTTGCTCAATGGATAGAGTGTCGGCTTGCAGACTGAAGGGTCCCAAGTTGGATTCTGATCAAGGGCACATGCCTGGGTTGTGGGCTCAATCATCACTGAAGTTTCTATCTCTCTCTCCTCATTTCCTTTCTAAAAGCAATAAAAATATTTTTTTTAATTTTAATTTGGAAAAAAAATGTATTGTATAATGTTACTTTTAAAAACATATTGAATAAGAACCATATATTTCTGGCATCTGATAAAATAGTTTTGTAATATTTTCAGGTATTTTGCTTTCAATAGCAATGATTGGTCCAATCCTTGGCTTTACAGTGGGATCTGTGTTTTCTAAGATGTATGTGGATATTGGATATGTAGATCTGAGTAAGTATAATCAGAACAAGGTAATATGATAATGCTTTCCAAGTACAAGACATCATTCCCAAATAACTTAATTCTTTCAATAGTCCTTTGCTGACAATCAAAAGTTACCGATAGGAAATAAATGTACTAATAACCAGAATAGCTCTAGCCAGTTTGGCTCAGTGGATAGAACGTTGGCTGAAGGGTCCCGGGTTCGATTCCAGTCAAGGGCATGTACTTCAGTTGAGGCTTCTTCCCAGCCCAGGCCCTGGTTAGGGCTCATTCAGGAGGCAACCAATCATTGCGTTCCTTTCACATCCCTATTTCTCTCTGCCTTCCCCTCTTCTTTCATTCTCTCTAAAAATCAATGGGAAAATATCCTTGGGTGAGGATAAACAAAAATAAAAATAAAATACCCATTCCTTAAAAAAAAAAAATTAATAACCAGAATAAAAATAAATTCATCTCCTGTCTACACCAATACTAAGTATATAATAAAAGTTTATACTTTTAATACTAAGTATATAATAAAAATTGTTTTAACAAATTTGCTTAAGATTAGCTCATCCAAAATCATTGCATATTCAGATTTCTCAAATATGCCCTTTAATATCGCTTCCCTGCATTTATCCTTGGAAAACCTTCTCTCCATTTTCTGTTTGCATAGTTTTTAAAATATTTTCCAAAATGTGGCTCCTGTTCAGAGAAAACTTACTACACCCCTTTCAGAGAAACCATATGGCCCCAAATTCTTTGCACCTACTAGTCACCAAAGCATGCCTTTATTGTAGCCTTTATATAATTAGCCATAAACATTAGTGCACTTACCTGTCATCTTTTTTAGAACATATCAGGCTAGTCTCTGACTTCACATATAACAAATAATTAGGGTGTGTGAGTAAACAAATCTTATTTTTTATCTTATCAGGACTTGAACAGATCTCCAAGGAGATCAAAGTGTTTATTTCCATAATGGAGTAGACATCACAGTAGACCAACAATAACCACAAACTTGAAGGTGTTTTATAATATAAAGCTAAAGCTAGTATCTGTTGAAATGTTGTACATTTATTTTGGAAATGTAATTAGACTTTAGTAGGTTCACTTTCTGTACATTTCTACTCATATACTTCCACGCACACCATTGTTTTTATCACTAGGAATACAGAAATAAATTGTTAAAGTCTTTAGGATAATCATTTTGTAACCTCTTTTTTATAATCAGAAATCACTACTCACAATATTTTAGAATTCTTGTTGATTCCATTTCTACAACTGAATGCTTAGATCTTATTACATCTCTTATTCAGCCATGACTGTGATGTAGATATATGATAAAATAGTCAGCCTCAAGCTATTCTTTTTATGCAGAAATCTGGATCCAGCTTTAACAAGATATTCTGATTAGTTTTTTAAAAAATCAATATTTTTCTGTAGAATTTTTTTTTAAAGTTTCAAGACAATGTATGAGCTAAGGAAAATATTTCAATAGGCCATGTTTAGTTATATTGTGACTTCTAGTTCCTGTATGTAGACAGTGATAGAACAAGAAAATTGCTATCAAAATGACATTTCTGGCCCTGACCGGTTTGGCTCATGGGATAGAGTGTTGGCCTGTGGACTGAAGAGTCTCAGGTTCGGTTCCAGGCAAGGGTATGTACCTTGATTGCAGGCCCAACCCCAGTAGGGGGTGTTCAGGAGGCAGCTGATTGATGTTTCTCTCTCATCAATGTTTCTAACTCTCCCTTCCTCTCTGTAAAAAAATCAATAAAATATATTTTTTAAAATGACATTTCTGACAGATGAATAATTAGCATATAAATGGAGTCACTGTTTTTACCAATTGTTTCACAAAGTCTGTCAGAGTTGCTGATTATGAAACAATATGATCATGTAAGTCAATTCTAACTCAGATCTGTGCACACTTGAAAGGTACTTCATGAAATAGAATGGATAATTTATTTCTATACAGTTTTAAATCAAGTCAATGTTTCCTCACTAAGTTTTCTGATAGATCCAAGTATAGCTCTAATATTATTGTGCTTCAACCTTCTATGGTGTGTGTGCATGTGTCTGGGTATGCACACACACATATCATAGAAGTTTGAAGCACAACTTCAAACTTAGAATGTTTACGACTTAGAATGTTTACTTTATGCTTGCTGAAATAGCTCACTTATATTTGTTTAGATATAGTGGTACGTATTACTCATGAATGCTGTGCTGTCCAAGAATTGGAAATTCAGGTTTCTGGAGGAGGAGAGAGGAGGGAGGAAACTCCCATAATTTGCTCTGAGAAATTCTTGCAAAGTTCTGTAAATATCATTGCTGGTGCTTTCTTAACCTCAGCAGATGGTGCCAATAGTTTTCAGACTATAACAAGGGTTTATATGCCTCTCATAACTGATACTTCAACACTTTTCAGGCTTAAAAGTTCAATGATGGCAATTGTCCAGTCATGTCACCAGAAAAGCTACCAAGTCCACACCAGCTCAGGCAATGACATGACTTGATTCCTAGACAACAGAAATCATATGATATCATTAAATTGGGGGCTTATCATAATTTAAGAGATGACAAAGCATGAAAAAAATAGAGCCGAAACTGTTTTGGCTCAGTGGATAGAGCTTCGGTCTGTGGACTGAAAGGTCCCAGGTTCGATTCCAGACAAGGGCATGTACATTGGTTGCGGGCATATCCCCGGTAAGGGGGTGTGCAAGAGGCAGCTAGTCGATGTTTCTCTCTCATCTATGTTTCTGGCTCTCTATCCCTCTCCCTTCCTCTCTGTAAAAAATCAATAAAATATAGTTAAAAAAGTAGAGTCTCAAACTGATAAAATGTTTATTAAAGGAGAGCAATCATTACCCCTATTGCCCAGAATTTACTGTATTTTAAAATAATTTTTATTATCCTATTCTAATTCTTTATTATAGGCAATATCAGAATCACTCCTAAGGACTCTCGTTGGGTTGGTGCTTGGTGGCTTAGTTTCCTTTTTGCTGGACTGTTATCCGTTATGTCTTCCATACCATTTTTTTTCCTGCCCAAAAATCTGGATAAACCACAGAAAAAAAGGAAAATTTCAGTATCTTTGCATGTGTTTAAAACAAATGAGGAAAGGAGTCAAATGACTATTCCAATAGACCCTGGGCAAAAGGTGACTGAAAACATAACTGGTAAGTATTTCATATGTATTGTCGTTGGGAATTGTTAATCCCAGTGAAAGGGAGGAGTGAGTATTCCAAAATAGTAGGTCATACTCAAATCATCTAGAGTTGGCTTTTTTCTGCACTAAACTGAGCTGAATTATTGTTCTAAAACCCTACTAACGTTAGTAAATGTTTTCTGAATACTGATATACTACTCTCTGAAGAAAAAAGGATTAGGTGTGTGGTGTTTAGCAGGGAGAAGCCAACCAAAGACTAAAAGTATTTGTTGCTTCTAAAACTAGAAAGCATATATTCATTTCAAAATAACATGCTGTAAACTATGAGGGTTAAAAAGATTGTCATATATCATTCATTCATTCACTTATTCACAAATGGTGCCAGGCACCGAACTATGCCTTGAAGATAGAATATTGCCTCTGTTTTCCAAGAATTTACAATCTAGTGGATTGTACCAAGAAGCATATAGACACTTGCAATACAATCTTTAAGTACTATGGTAAAGTTAAATGCAAGAAATTATAAACCCGGCCAGTGTGGCTCAGTGGTTGAGCATCAGCCTATTAACCAGGAAGTCATGGTTTGATTCTCAATCAGGATACATGCCCAGGTTTTAGGCTCAATCCGCAGTAGGGGGTGTGCAGGAGGTGGCCAATCAATGATGCTTTTTCATCATCGATATTTCTATCTCCCTCTCCCTTCTCTAAAATAAATAAAAATATATTATTTTTTAAAAGAAATTATGAGTGCCTCTAAATTGGACAAGTTTATTATTCTTACATGGAAAGATGGAGTAAGGAGAAGAAAGTCAGAGGTTTCCCTCTAGATAATTAGAGTAAGACTTTTTTTCTTGGTAATCATATAACAGAAGTTTGCTTATGTAAATATTTAAAAAGTGTAGCAGAGCCCTAACTGGTTTGGCTCAGTGGATAGAGCATCAGCCTGTGGACTGAGAGGTCCCAGGTTGGATTCTGATCAATGGCATGTGCCTTGGTTGCAGGCACATCCCCAGTAGGAGGTGTGCTGGAGGCAACTGATCAATGTTTCTCTCTCATCAATGTTTCTGACTCTCTGACCCTCTCTCTAAAATAAATACATAAATAAATAAATAAATAAATAAATAAATAAATAAATAAATAAATAAAATATAGTTGTTTTTTTTAAAAATGGAGCAGAAGCAAATAGTAGTAGTTAAGATTATCGAAGTCAATCAAGTGAATAATGATTCTCCACCATGTGATAGTGCTGGTCCTTTCAAACATACGCCCTGAGGGCTAATGGAAAACAAGTTAGGAGCAATAGTCTGGACAACGACTAACAGCATTCAGAGCAAGGTGGTTGACACAAGGAAGTTCTAGTGCAGTGTTCACATTGCACAGAAATGGTGGGACATAAAAACCAAAGCAAGGATAATGCCTAAACCCTTGGCAACCTTTTCAAGTTAAAGTTGAAGCGAATTCAATATTCTCAGGTGTACCCAAGCACTCCCTCTCACCAGTCCTACACTCACTCACTTGATTGTTACTTTATCCTCCCCATCATTCTAATCCAAAATCAGTGGTGTGATGGAGCCAGTTTGTATTGGCTTGTGGGAGAGGACTGTTTATTTTTCAGCTACACTGGAAGCTTGAAATGGGACATTGTGGGAGAATTTACCATTTATTACTTTGGAAATTTGGAAATACTACAAATCAGGCCTTGTTTTCCCAAGTCTCAGTTGCTAAACATTTACCAGCACATCACTGAGTTAGAAGTTTCTGAAATGTAACATATATACTAAAAATAGAATACCAAGAAAACTTCACTTGGTTTAGGCCAGTGGTCAGCAAACTCAACAGAATCAAATATTAACAGTACAACAAGTGACATTTCTTTTGAGAGCCAACTTTTTTAAACTTAAACTTCTAACACCACTTCTTCAAAATAGACTGGCCAGGTCATGGTATTTTGTGGAAGAGCCACATTCAAGGGGCCTAAGAGCCACATGTGGCTAGCGAGCTGCAGTTTGCTTTTAATACCAAATCAAAGCAATGAAAAGTAGCGGATTGACTAAACCTATAAGGAACTTGGTTGAGTGTGAGCCCAAACAGAATGGAGAGGATGATGGATATGCAAAAATAGAACAGTTGTAAACATCATCTATATGACCAATTGTGTTTATAAGATAGTGATCAGAAAAGTAAAGAGGTCCCTAAATATGTGTTGCTAGGAATAGATGTAATAACTAAGAACACTTAGAAAAAACAATATTGGCTTTGTTATATATGTTGTTTAAAAAGACTGGTTGTTTAGAAAGAAATATTTCAGTTAATTACAAAAAACAATTGTAAAAAAAATAAGACTAGTTGTTTAGAAAGAAATATTTTAGTTAATTACAAAAACAATTGTAAAAAAAAATCATAAACAATAAGAATTATCCAAAAATGGAGCAAATTTCTTTCTGAGGTTGTTAGCTTAATGTCATCTGTATTGATCTAACTACTGACGATATATAATGAATCATGATTGTGTGGAAATTCAGATTAGACAACACCCAAGTTCCTACCCACCTCAAAAATGCAATGATTTGGTGAACTCATCTGCTTCAATTCTTTTGACCCAATGTCACAACTCATTTCATTTATTTTTGTCTAAAGTTTTACATATGCCTCCTTTTCCCCCAGCTTGACCCCTCCCCCTAGCCATACCTACACCAGGCAAGCCCCTACCACCTAAGTGTCTATGTCCATTGGTTAAGCTAATAGGCATGCATACACGTCCTTTGGTTTATCTCTAACCGACCTCCCCAACGCGCCATCCCCTGCCATTTGTTTCTGGATCTATTCTTGTTCATCAAATTATGTTGATTATTATATCCTATACATATGAATAAGATCATATGATATTTTTCCTTTGCCAATTGACTTATTTCGCTTAGCTTAATGCTCTCCAATTCCACCCATGCTGTTGCAAATGATAAAAGTTCCATTTTTTTTATAGCATCATAATATTCCATTGTGTAAATGTACCGCAGTTTTTTAATCCACTCATCTACTGATGGGCACTTAGGTTGTTTCCAAATCGTGACTATTGTAAATTGAGTTGCTATGAACATAGGGGTACATATATTCTTTCTGATTGGTGTTTCTGGTTTCTTGGGATATAGTCCTAGAAGTGGAATTACTGGGTTAAATGTGAGTCCCATTTTTAACTTTTTGAGGAAACTCCATACTGTTTTCCACAGTGGCTGCACCAGTCTGCATTCCCACCAGCAGTGCATGAGGGTTCCTTTTTCTCCACATCCTCATCAGCACTTGTCCTTTGTTGATTTGTTGATGATAGCCATTCTGACAGGTGTGAGATGGTAACTCATTATTTTTGATTTGTATCTCTCAACTGATTAGTGACTTTGAGCATGTTTTCATATGTCACTCAGCCCTCTGTACTAGTAAATCCTCTTTCAAAAATTGTCTTTTTAGGTCCTTTGCACATTTTTTGATTGCATCATTTATCTTTCTTTTGTTAAATTGTATGAGTTTTATGTAAATTTTGGAGATTAAACCCTTACTGAAATATTGTTGGCAAATATGTTCTCCCATGTATTGGGCTTTCTTGTTGTTTTGTTGATGGTTTCTTTTCTTGTGCAGAAGTTTTTTATTTTATGTACTCCCATTTGTTTACTTTCTCTTTAGTTTCCATTGCCCTAGGAGCTGTGTCTCTAAAGATATTGCTACGACATATGTCTGCTATTTTGCTGCCTATGGAGTCTTGTATTTAAGTCCTTTAGCCATTTAGAGTTTGCTTTTGTGTATGGTCTAAATTGGTAACCTAGTTTCTTTTCTTTTTCTTTCTTTCTTTCTTTTTTTTTTTTTTTTTCTAACTTTGTTCTTCTTTCTCAGGACAGCTGTGGCTATTATGGGTCTTTTTTTATTCAAGATGAATTTTTGGAGATCTTTGAAGTATGCCTTTGGTATTTTAATGGGGATTATATTGAATCTGTAGATTGCTTTGGGTAGTATGGCCATTTTAATTATGTTAATTCTACCAATCCATGAACATGGTATATTCTTCCATTTGTTTATGTCTTCCTCTATCTCTTTTTTCAATGTACTGTAGATTTTCAAGTACAGGTCTTTTACTTCCTTAGTTAAATTTATTCCTAGGTAACTTAATTTTTTTTGTTTGTGCAATGGTAAATGGGATTTTTGTTTTGTTTTATTTCTCTTTCTGTGAGTTCATTATTGGTGTATAAAAAGGCCATAGATTTCTGGTTGTTAATTTTGTATCCTGCTACATTGGCAAATTCATTTATTAGATCTAGTAGTTTTTAATGGAGTCTTCGGGGTTTTCTTTGTGTATTATCATGTCATTTGCAAATAAGGACAGCTTCACTTTTTCTTTTCCAATTTGAATGCCTTTTATTTCTTCTTTTTGTCTGATCGCTCTGGCTACCATTTCCAGTAATATGTCGAATAGGAGTGGTAAAAGTGGGCATCCCTGTTTTATTCCCGTTCTCAGAGAAAATGAGTTTAGTTCTTGCCCATTAAGTATGATGTTGGCTATAGGTTTGTCATATAGGCATTTATTATGTTAAGGTATGATCCCTCTATTCCCACTTTGCTGATAGTTTTTATCAAGAAAGAAGTTGGATTTTGTCAAATCTTTTTCTGCATCAATTGATATGATTATGTGATTTTTGTCTCTCAATTTGTTTATGTGATATATCACATTTATTGATTTGCAAATATTGTACCATCTTTGCATCCTCAGAATAAATCCCAGTTGGTCATGGTGTGTAATCTTTCTGATGTACTGCTGAATCCAATTTGCTAGAATTTTTGTTGAGGATTTTAGCATCTATGTTTATCAAAGATATTGGCTTGTAGTTCTCTCTTTTTTGTGTGTGTGTTGTCTTTATCTGAAATTGGCATTAGGGTAATACTGACTTCATAGAAAGAGCTTTGAATTGTGCCTTCCTTTTGCATGTCCATTTCATTGAGATTGTCCATTTTGTTAGAATAGAGTTGTTCATAGTATTTTTTTCATAATCGTTTGCATGTCTTCTTCACTTTTGTTTCTTAAGCACCTAGCATATTGCCTGACCCAGTTAAAAATCAAATATTTGTTGAGTGAATGAATAAATTAATTAATCATGTATGTAGTTGTATGGTTGAGTGACAAAACTAACCAAATGCAAAGTGAACAAAGCAAGTTGCAAACAACATGTATATATGATCCTATCTAGGTAAAATGAACTAAATAAATATAAATGCATATATGGAAAAAATGCAAAGAATATATAATAAACTATTGATAAGATTAGCAGGTATTTTGTATTATCTATTTATATAATACTAGTGGCTCAAGTGCACAAAATTCATGCACATTAAAAGGGAATTAATTAGAGGAAATATTAATTTTGTTATTTGCCCTTTCTTTCTAATAGAAGTGTCAGAGATTAAAAAAAATGAGTAAAATGTATATGAAAATCTCCCTCTGTCAGAGTCTGGGACATGCCATGGGACCCAGAGTCAAGTTCCCACCTGCCCATGCACACTGCGAAATCATGCCAGACCAAAACCTGGCCAGCCCCACCCCATTGGATGAGACCCAGGCTTGGCTAGTCCCACCCCTATCAAGCCCCTCCAAGCGAGGGGTGGAAGAGGGGGGAGGGAGGTTGCGACCTCAAATCCCCCACCCCAGCCCAGTGCCATACAGCCTCAGGTCCCTGCTAATCAGTCATTATAACATCATGGCGTGATGACCATTTGCATATTAGCATTTTATTATGATAATTAAATGTTATATAACATATTTATAAAATTAAGATATTGATATATATATATTTAAATTAATTATTGTGTGTGTGTTTTTATACTTCTGTTTTTATAGGTTTTCTCCAGTCCTTAAAAAGTATCCTTACCAATCCCTTATATGTTTTATTTTTGTTTTTGACATTGATACAATTCAGTGCCTATATTGGTATTATTACTTTTGTCTTCAAATACATAGAACAACAATATGGTCAGTCAGCATCTTCAACCAACATAGTGCTTGGTAAGACACTTGGTTTCTATTTGCTTGATAAGCAATATACTAATAGTAATTGAGTTCTAAGTGACATTTTGTTGTGATAGCAGCTTCATATTTTAGTAAATATAATTTCAATTTATTATTTTGCAAATATTATCAAACTTGTTTATTTTGTGATGTCATCTTTGTTTTGTATTTGAAGCAACATCTCATATTATTTTTGAATAGATAAATTCTTGAAGAAAAAAATTGCACATAAATGGAACATTTAGACATGAGATCTGCATAATTGGATCTTAAAATTTAGTGCTGAAATCCAGAGACAAATCCTTTTGAAACGTAATCATTATATTTTCATAACTCATGAAGTTTGAAGCTACTTACAAAAAATAGAGCATTGATGTTTCCCAAAGAAAAACATTAAACAAACCATTGATGTCTACATAATTCAAAACAAATATCATGCAGCAGAGAGGGGTCTTTTGCTACAATATCTATAATCTATGACATAGTGAAACTTAATTATGAAGGAATGGCTTCCTTATATCATTTTTCATCTATTCCTGGTACAGTAAAAACTTAATAAATATTTGATAAATTAAATTGAATTTATCAGGTGGCATGTGAGCAGGTCATAAATAAACAATAAAATATTAATTATGTATGATGCTCAAATTAAATTTAAGAGTCTGCACTGTAAGAATTAATTTTGTTCCCAGTAATGTTCCCATCTGAATTTTTTTTTTGTTAGAGTGGCCTTCATATTTAATAACTCTTGCAGGACAATGAAAGGGAAAACTTATAAGAGGGACCAACCATGTATAATACTGATAACAGGTCTTTTTATCATTTCAGGGTATATGTGTGTTTGAATGAATAAAAAGGAGATAGTAATTCAAGTATTCAATTCTAAAGTACTGAGCACATTTGGAATGCTTTTTTAAGAACTGGAACTCTTCATTTTGAGATGTGAAAGATTTTAGGTGGTAGGATGAAAGTCTCATAGGCAGGAAGATGGTGTTTTGTTGTTTTCCAGGGGAAAAGCCTCTCATAGAAACTATCTGTTGAGACATACAAATATTCTATTCACTGACTTTTGCTAATGGGGAAACAAAACCCTCAGCATTGTTAAGAAGAAATCATTTTTATCCCTTCCATATGGTATACTGGTACCCTACCTCCATCAGGCCAGCCAGTCTTAAGAAATAATAAGATTATCATGAATTTGGTTGATATACATGATGTTGCATATGTAAAGACATTCCAGAATAATTGTATGTATATAATTAATATTTTTTCTTTTATCTCTAGGATTCATAACCATACCAACTATTGCCTCTGGAATGTTTACAGGAGGATATATCATTAGAAAATTCAAATTTACCTTGCTTGGAACTGCCAAATACCTATTTTGTATCAATATATTGACCCTCCTACTTTACCTATTAAATTTTGCACTAATCTGTGAAAACAAATCGGTTGCTGGCCTGACCTTGACCTATGATGGGTTTGTATATATCAATATATCATTTGTACAATGTATAAACTATTCAATGTAAAACTTTAAAGAAACCAGGTTAGATGACAATTTTAACTAAACTTCCTTTTGAGAGAAATTTCTAACTTACAAATTCCTAAAAAGTACATTATTGTGAGATTTTTTTAAAAATCTTTTTTATTCCTTGCTTTAAAAAAGTGACATAGTTTGTAATAATAGTTACCATGTATGGGGTGCTTACAATGAGTGATGGACACTTTTATCCCCATTTTATAGTTAGGAAAAGCTAGGTTTAGAGGATACACAGATAATATGGCTAGCAATGTTAAGAACTTACTTACATTTAGGGTTTTTTTTACTCCAAAATTCTTAGTCTTAACCATTATAATCTTGGATGGATCATGAGATGAATATAAATGACATTTTCTAAAAGCAACTGAACTATCTGAATCTGTAGTTAATTTTTATGTTTAACAACTACTTTTATAAGAAAACATTGTACTATTGTGTTCTGCATTTATGCAAACTAAAACTGCTTCTTGTAATGTCTACTTTGACAGAATTGATAAGCATCCTATATATAATTGCATATAACATCCTACAAAACCTTTCACTTTTATTATTATTATCAAACTAGAAGCCCGTGCACGAATTCATACACCAGCAGGGTCACTCGGCCTGGTCTGTGGGATCAGGCTGAAACTGGTTCTCTGACATCCCCTAAGGGGTCCTAGATTGCAAGAGGGCACAGACCAAGCCAAGGGACCCACTAGTGCAGAATGGGGCCAGGGAAGGATACAAGAGGTTGACCAGTGTAGGAGGGGTCACGGGAGGGCTCCAGGGCATGTTTGGCCCATCTCGCTCAGTCCTGATTGGCTGGACTTGAGCAGCAAGCTAACCTACCAGTTGGAGTGTGTACCCCCTGGTGATCAGTGCATGTCATAGGGAGCTATTGAGTTGCCTTAGCATACGATTAACATATTATGCTTTTATTGGTTGAACAGCCAACTTGATGACTGGACACTTAGCATATTAGGCTTTTATTATATAGGATATTGTTTAAGTATTTCTAGTACTATGGTCTCTACCTCAAATCAAGAGCAAGATTCCTGTGCAGATTTCTTATTATCTCCTAAATACAGCTAACAACTTGAGTTTAGGAAAGTTTACATTCAAGCTTAGGAAGGTTCACATTCAAGTAACAAGCAAGGATCCCTGAATCATAGTTTAGTAATCATGCTCCTTAGTGACCCTTACTGTTGACTCAAAGTTTTTACACTATGGATCCTATGAAGCATCAATTTTAACTTGTCAGATATTCCCACATTTCCTAATTTTTGGAGGCTTGACAACCTACCCTCGCATTATCTCCTCATTTCCTCCTAATCCTGACTGTTGTTGATTATATCTATACAGCATCACCCACTCTAGTAAGTCAAACTACAGAGTAGCTAGAACATTGAACTTTAGCAGTAAAAGAGGCATAGTGGTCATGTAGCCCAACCCTTTTATAATCTCTCTTTTTTTATTATTAGTTGAGACTCAGATAAACTATAACTTGTCTGCAGTCCTACAATGCCTTCAGACCAGCACCACATCACACCATTGGTTCAAGGGCTCTCTGGTTGCCAGGGCAGGCTTTTGCTTTTAGCCAGTTCTCTGAAAACAAGTACAGTATCTGTGCCATAATTCAAAAGAAGGCAGCTACAGTCCTCTGGGTTTTTTTTTTTCAGGCAGTAAATTTTGCTAAGTGCTTCCTTAAAGGTCAAGAAGATGCCCTCATGAAATTCATAGTCTAATGATATTAAACAACTGAATCAATATATTCAGCATTTATGAAATGCTAGTCACTGGAGAAAGTTTTAAAAGTATGAATTAGTGCAGAGGTTCTCAGAATGTGGTCTGAGGATCTACAGGGGTCCCTGAAAGCTTATTAGAGTGTCTAGAAATTTTAAAGTATTTGCAAAATGATACCAAGGCAGTATTTGTCTTTTCCATTCTCATGTTCTCATGAATGTATAGTGATATTTTCTAAGCCTACAAGACATGCAATGTTAACACCAGTCTGGTGGCTATGTGTGGCTGTGTATTCTCATACATTAAAGTTTTCTTAGTATTGATTTCTAATAGAGTATATATCAACAGATATACCCACTTGAATGAAAAACTTTGAGAGCCCCAAAACTTTTGAGTGTGAAGAGCTACTAGGAACAAAATGTTTGTGTACTGCCAAATTAATATTTTTCCAAAAAATCCCATGAGACTGATGCTATTATATATGACTTACAAATGACAAAATTGATTTTAGAAAGAATAGTTACATTGCTAACATGGCAGAATTAATGAGAACACAGGAGTTTTTTATTGCAATGTCTGGACTGGGTCATTAATCATTAAATTTAACCACTTTCAGATGTATGTCCCCAAGCAAAATTGGATATAAGGTGCTTTTTAGTAAAATTATTGATGATAGCATTTTGGAATTTCAGAATCTACTTTTTTCTTTTTATGTAAATTATATTCTCATTCAAAGATAGTTTATCAATCCTCAATTATTATCAAGATTTTTACCAAAAGCCAAAGTATAGTTTTAAAAATCTATAAGTAGAAAAATAATTATACATAGCTCTATTTTGTCATTTCAGCAATGTTTTAAGATTATATTTTATAAATATAACCATGTTTTACAGTTAGTCAATATAAAGTATGTTGTAGTTTCATTTAAAAATTATATGGAGTGCTTCTAGTCTTTCTCAGCGGATTGTTGTTTTTTTCTTGATTTAAAAAAATAAATTGGTCCTTAGGGATTCTGCTTTTACCATGTTAAATTATTTTCCTATGTAGTGAAAATATAACATTTAAAATTCAAATTAGTTAAATAAACATTCACAGATTTTGGGGACTTTACAATGGACTGAGAGGAACCTTCATCGAATGCCATTACCTTGTTGAAGAGAAACTGAGTAACAGAAAAATGAAGTGACTTATTTAATGAGTAATTTCTTGATAGAGTCACAAAATCTCTTATCTATGTCTCACCTATCCTCTTTGCTTTCTTTTTATTGTTTTAGCTTATCTTTATCATAACTTATCTCTTGGTAAAGATGGAGGGTAAAAAAGTTAGTAAGTCCTATAAAACTTTGCCATTTTGGCTTCATTACTCATCAAATTTCTCTATTGAATTAAAGGACAATGCTTTCCTTTATTTCACTTTTCTTCCTTTCTCCTCTCTCCTATCCCCTTTCTGTTCCCCTCCTCTCTCCTTCCTTTCCCTTCCTTTTTCTTCTTTTCACTTCCTCTCTCTCCCAATTCTCCTCTTCCTCCCCTACATCTCCTTCTCCTCCTCCTCCTCTTCTTCTTCTCCTTTTTCTCCTCCTCCTCCTCTGTTTTTGATATATGTCTATCATATCTTTCCAGAAATAATCCAGTGTCATCTCACATAAATGTACCGCTTTCTTATTGCAACTCAGACTGCAATTGTGATGAAAGTGAATGGGAACCAGTCTGTGGGGACAATGGAATAACTTACATATCACCTTGTCTAGCAGGATGTAAATCTTCAAGTGGTAATAAAAAATCTATGGTGAGTATTAGGTGTTTTTTTTCTCTTCTCCCCTAATCAGAATCACAGATTTGATTTAAAAATTATTTATCAGCCAAATCCGGTTTGGCTCAGCGGTAGAGCGTCAGCCTGCGGACTGAAAGGTCCCCGGTTCGATTCCGGTCAAGGGCATGTACCTTGGTTGTGGGTACATCTCCAGTAGGGGGTGTGCAAGAGGCAGCTGATCGATGATTCTCTCTCATCGATGTTTCTAACTCTCTCTTCCTCTCCCTTCCTCTCTGTAAAAAATCAATAAAATATATTTTTTAAAAAAGAAAAAAGATACTGTGTTCCTACTAGCTGGCCACATCCAGGTTTGAGGCTTGAGGGGGTGCCTGGAAGAGGAGCTCCATGATAGAGATCATAAATAATAATAATAATAATAATAATAATAATAATAAAATTATTTATCAGATTTCCTTTTCAACTTTACTTTGATATATCCCAATTTCCCTCCCTTTGCCAACCTCCACCCAGACACCAACCACCCTTCATCTGGCCACCACCACACAGTTATCTGTGTCTGTAGATTTTGCAAGTATTGTCTTTGGCTAATCACTTCAACTTCTCTCGTCCAGTTCCCCCTCACCACTGACAACTGTCAATCTATTTCATGTATCCCTGCCTCTGTTTCTATTTTGTTCATTAGTCTATTTTATTCATTAGATTCCATAGATAAGTAAGATTATATGGTATTTGTCTTTCTTGACTGGCTTATTTCACTCAGCATAATAATATCCAGGTCCATTCATGCTGTCGCAAGAGAAAAGAATTCTTTATTTTTTATTTTTTATTTTTTATGGCTATGCGGTATGCCATGGTGTAAATGTACCATAGTATTTTGTCTATTCATTTATTGGTGGGCACTTGGGATATTTCCAGATCTTGGCTATTATATATAACACTGCTATGAACATAGGAGTGCATATTTTTTTTAATAGCTTGTGTTAAAGGAATCTTAGGATATATTCCCAGAAAAAGGATCACTGGGTCAAAAGGCAGCTGCACTTTTAATTTTTTAACAAACCTCCATACTATTTCCCATAGTACCTGCACCAATCTATATTCCTACCAACAGTGCACTAGGGTTTCCTTTCTCCACATCCTCGCCAGCACTTTTTATTTGTTGATTTGTTGATAACAGCCATTCTAACAGGCATGAGCTGATATCTTATTATGGTTTTAATTTGTATCTCTCTGGTGATTAGTGATGGTTGTCATTTTTCTCTATATCTATGTTCCTTTCTATTTCTTATTAAAATAGGCCCTTCAACATTTATTCCAATACTTGTTTGGTGGTAATAAACTCCTTTGGTTTTTTCTTTCTTTCTTTCTTTCTTTCTTTCTTTCTTTCTTTCTTTCTTTCTTTCTTTCTTTCTTTCTTTCTTTCTTTTCTGAGGCGGGGGGAAGGGTCTGGGAAGCTCTTTTTTCCCATTTAATTTTAAATGATACCTTGCTGGATCAAGCAGTCTTGCTTGCAGATCCTTGCTTTTCATCACTTTGAATACTTCATGCCAGTCCCTCCGGCCTGAAGTGTTTCTGTTAAGAAACCAGCTGACAGCCTTATGATAACTCCCTTGTAGATAAGTAACCGTCTCTCTTGCTACCTTTAAGATTTTCTCTTTATCTTTAATCTTTGCCATTTTAATTATGATGTGTCTTGTGTGGGTCTCTTTGGGTTCATTTTGATTGGAATTCTCTGTGCTTCCTGAATCTGTGTGTCTTTCCCCTTCACCAGATAGAGATGTTTTCTGCCATTATTTTTTTAAACAGATTGTCTATCCCTTGCTCTCTCCTCTTCTTCTTCTGGTACCCTTATTATGTGGATGTTGTTACATTTGCTGTAGTCCCAGAAGTTTGTTAGACTTCCTTTACTTCTTTTAATTCCCTTTTCTTCCTGTTGCTCTGCTTGGGTGCTTAATGTTATCTTGTCCTCTGATTCACAGATTCAGTCCTCTGCTTCATATAACCTGCTGTTGATTCCTTCTAATGTTTTCTTCATTTCAGATATAGTATTCTTCACTTCTGAATGGTTCCTTTTTATGGTCTCTGTGTTCTTTTTAATGCTTAATCTCTTTGCTTAAGTTCTCACTGAGATTATTCATTCTTCCCGTGAGGTCTTTGAGCATCCTTATAACCATTATTTTAAACTCTTCATCTGGTATTTTGGTTGCTTTCATTTCATTTAATTCTTTTTCTGGGTGTGTCTCTTATTCTTTTGTTTGGGGAATTTGTCTTTGTCTCCCCATTTTTTTCCCCATGTATTAGGTAGATTTGCTATGACTCCTAAATTGTTATAATGGCTTTATGATGGAGGTGTCTTGTTGTGCTCAGTGGCACAATCTTCCAAATCACCTGAGCTCTGTTGTTATTGTTGTTATTGTGTGTGTGTGTTTTGTGTGTGGGTTATGTGCACACCCTATCGCAGTTGAGTCTTGAATGTTGAAAGCTGCTTGCCCTTTTGTGTGTGTGGTGTTGACCCTTCAGGCTGGGTGACTATAATGGTAAACTTCATTCACCATGTATGAGATGCTTTGTAGGGGCTATCCTCTCCCCTTGCCCCATGAGGTGGAGTTGCTCCCAGCAGAGTCTGTTGCCTGCTGGAATCCCACTCTGGGTGTGTCACTTGAATGGCTAGTTGGGTCAGTCTCTGGTGTGGTGTGAAGCCCACCACTGGTTGTGTTGGTTCTGAGTCTACTTCAGTGAGTTCCAGGTACAGATCACTATCAATCTTGTGTGTAACCAACCTGGGGCTGCCTATCTGTAGCTACCGGGCTGTTCACATTTGTATCTGTGTCTGCTGGACCTCAGTGTGCATGGGAGGAACAAATCTGTGTAAAAGTGTCGGCTTCCTCCAGGTTAGAGATGGGGGGGGAGGTGGTGCAGGGGGCAGATCTGTAAAAAGACTGAGGCTCCATCTGTCGGCTATGCTGCCTCCCCTGAGATTATTTCATCTTCCTCCAGAGTCCTCCAAAGAAAGACTGTAGTATGAGCCCAGGCTAGCTTCTTCTCCTGGTTGTGAGCTCAGTAGAGTGGGGCAACTGGGGTCCGGAGGATAGAGCTAGTGAGTCCCCTACTTGGGGATCAGGCACTCAATGAGAGGAAAGTGTCCCCTACTTCAAAGCCAAACCCCGCAGTCTCTGCCACAGTCTCCAACTCTAGTTCCCACAAGGAGGGCTCACTGCGGGTTCAGGTTTGGTACAGTCAGCCTGCAGGAAAGACTCAGCCACCCTGGGCTCAGGAGACAGATCAAAAGTCTCTCATTTGGGGATAATGCCAGGCCAACCCACAAGAGGTGGGAAGGGAGGGGAGCTAAGCATTTGGTCCCAGGCCCAGACAATAGCCTCACACTTTGAATAGTTCTGCTCTGAGCTGCTCTTTCTTCTCCCCCGATCCCTAACCTCCCAGAACTACACCCAGCGGAGGTCCCAGGACTTGGCAGGGCCAAGCCAAATAGCCTCCCATTGGGAATGGTGCCCACTAGCTTGTAGGAGAGAAGTGAGTACTTCCTCTTCCTGGGGTAGTGCTAGCTGAACTCACAAGAGTGATTGGATTTGCCTCCTCACAATGTGGCCACACAGCCCCAGCACTCACCCTTCTGGCTCCTGAACAGAAGCCAAATTAAATCTCAAAAATTATTTGTCCCTAAGTTTTCTCCTTCTGTGTTCTATTAGGGTATTCTGTTGGATTTAACCTCTCTGGTAACAAGATCATCTAGTCTATAATCTGCCCTTATGCTCTTGAATGTAGCGTTGACTGCCAAGGTAGAATTCTAACACCCCTGACTGGCCGCTTTGCCCCTGGACGCTGCCTTATTCCAATGGGTAGCTCTAGTTCCAGGTTTTGGCCCCTTCCAAACTACTATATTTTCTAACTTCCTTGGGAAATCCCTCCTCAAGGAATGTCCTGGATACTTAGCAGAAATTGTTAAAGAGAGTAAGTAGGTGTGTTATACATAGCAATCGTGAGTAGAAGAGAAATAGTAAAAGAATTTATATTAATGAGAAAATTGCATACAGAGTTCCAAACATTAATTTCCTCTATTCTTTCCTAATTTTTAAGTCAGAGATAAATTAAATGTTAATGGTGATTTACTTTTTTTTTTTTTAGAAGGAAACTATTTTGCCTTTCAACTTTGAAATAACTATATTTTTAGACTATTTTATTTAAAATCTGTAATGATTTTAGCTTGAATAAAAGAGACTTCCTTAACTATAATGGACTGTATTTATAGACCAATCATATTGTGCAGATATATTCTGTAATATTTCAAAAACTGTTTTTTAGGTGTTTTATAACTGTAGTTGTGTAGAAGCAACTGGTTTCCAGAACAAAAGCAACTCAGTGATTTTGGGTGCATGCCCAAGAGATGGTCAGTGTATAAAAAAATTTTATATGTATATAGTAGTGCAAATCCTGAATTCTTTTACCTCTTCATTGGGATCGGTCTCAACTATCATGCTGGTTTATAAGTGAGTATAACTTTTTAAAAACATTTTTATGTATATTAGACTAATAATATACATATTTTTCCATAATATATTTGGAACCCAAATTCATTCTTTGTTACACTTTAATGTTCTAAGAATGCATTTTCTTAGGATTATTGTGATCTTCAATGTCATAATTAATCATAATTTAGCTCTGATTCTTACATTATAAAAATATAGATTCAATACTTACTCCTCTTCTAAGAATATTAAAACACAGACAGATTGATAAATGCTTCAATCCTTAAAAAATTTCTGTTGTGATTCTAAATGAACTTTTACTTTTGAAATACCTTATATCCTAATGAACCTGTCAGTATGAATTTTATTTGATTTTATTTGAAGAAAACATTTGGGAACCAGACTGTATAAGATGTATAGTATTCCAAATCTTTAATCCACTCATAGAATGGTTTTTGTCCTAGTCTCTCAAATACCTTCACAGACAAAAGAAAAATATATGAACAAAATTTATTCCTTTCTCCATTCATTAAACCAATATTTAGAACCAAGGACTATATATATATATTATCAAGCATGGTTCTAAATATATATATATTATCAAGCATGATATGTATATATATATATACATCTCATGATGAATAAAACAGATCAAGTATCTATTCTTATACAGTTTAGAGTCTGATAGGGAAGATTGACATAAGATAAATAAGCTTAAAACTAAACACATAATTACAAATTATCATTAATACTCATAAAGAAAAAGAGTTCTATTTAGAGAATTAAAAGGGAAACCTAATTTAGGAGTAAAGTGAGGAGCTATAAGGAAGAAGACTTAAAGAGTACTTTAAAAAAATGACATTTAATCTAAAAGTTGAGAGAATAAATTAAAGTTAGCCAAATGAAAAACTTCACAGGTCTAGGTGCCAATGCTCAAGACAGGAAAGAACTGGTGTGTTTGAGAAATTCAAAGAAGCTTCTTGGTTGAAACATAATTAATGAGAGAGAAATGGCACAAAATAAAACTGCAGGGTTAGGAAGGTATCAGATAAGACAAGCCCTAATGGTGGAAGATATTTTTCAATCACCTAAAATTGAAAACATAAAAAAGACTTGAACATAGGTTTTAAGAACATATATGTATAAATATGGTGACCTGGGTAAGTATCTAATCCTACACAATAAAAGAGTAATATGCAAATTAACCATCACTTTGCTACACCCACCAGCCATACCCACCAGCCACACCCACCAGCCAATCAGAACAAGTATGCAAATAAACCCAACCAAGGTGGCTACAGCTTGAGAGGAAGAGAAAGGCTGGGTTTCCCAGGTGATGGAAGAAGCCAAGCTTTCTTCCTGCCCTAGCCAGCCTAAGCCTCCACTCAAGGCTACAAAGTTTCAATTATAGAAGGTAAACAAATCCAAACAGAAACCAGGGCAGCCACTGCGAGCAGGAGGCTTGGCTCCATTCCAGGCTACAAAGTTTCAATTGTAGAAGGTAAATAAATTCCAGATACCAGGGCCTCCACTTGAGTTGCCAGGGAGCACGGATGGCCTGAAAAACACCAAAGACCCCTCGCTCAGGCCGCCACATGCTCCAAGGGAGCCCCCATTCTGATCAGGGACACCCTTCAGGGCAAACTAGCTGGCTCCCACCCATGCACCTGGCCTCTAACCTATCTAATAAGAGTAATATGCAGATTGACCATCACTCCAACACACAATAGCTGTCCCCATATGGTCAAAGGTGACTGCCCCCATGTGGACACAAAATGGCCACCACAGGATGGCCAGTAGGAGAGGGCAGTTGGGAGGGACCAGGCCTGCAAGGGAGGGCAGGTGAGGGTAATCAACCCTGCAAGGAAGGGCAGTTAGGGGTGACCAAGACAGGAGAGGAGGGCAGTTAGGGGCAATCAGGCTGGCAGGGGAGCAGTTAGGCATCAATCAGACTGGCAGGGCAGTGGTTAGGAGGTGATCAGTCTGGCAGGCAGAAGCAGTTAGGGGCAATCAGGAAGGCAGGCAGGCAAGCAGTTGGGAGCCAGCAGTCCTGGATTGTGGGATGTCTGACTGCCTATTTAGACTCAATCCATCAGGCCTCAATGGGCAGTTGGACATCCCTTGAGGGGTCCCAGATTGGAGAGAGTGCAGGCTGGGCTGAAGGACACCTTCACCCTGGCCCATGCATGAATTTTGTGCACAGGGCCTCTAGTTATACTTCTAAGACCTAGGTAGTTGACCACAAGTAACTGTCAGCCAACAGCGTGACATGGAAGGGGAAAAAGAAACAAATGTATAGACTTTTGTAAAAATGAAAATAGACCTGTAAACTGAGTCTCCGTTTGTTTAAATTCTACTCTGACCCCAATTATTGTGAAATTTTTATACTAATTTATTTCACAGATACTACTCCACTTTAATATCAAGTGTTGTCTACTCAAAAGGAGAAATCTTCCATATTTGCCAAATTACAGATTTTTAACTTACGGAAAACCATCTCAGAATTTCATATTAGTTTGCATCTCAACCAGTCTTAGCTTCTTAATTTAAAATCTCTCATGAAGAAAACTGGGGTTTGAGAGATTTTTGTTCCATCATTGATGGCATTTATATCTATAACTAGAGGCCTGATGCACAAAATTTATGTGTGTGTGTGGTGGGGGGGGGGGGGGGGAGGGTGTCCCTTAGCCCAGCCTGCACCCTCTCCAATCTGGGACCTGGTAGGATCAGGCCTAAATGGGCAGTCAGACATCCCGCAATCCAGGACTGCTGGCTTCCAACTCCTCGCCAGCCTGCCTTTCTGATTGCCCCTAACTGCTTCTGCCTGGCAGACTGATCACCTCCTAACCACTGCCCTGCCAGCCTGATTGCCCCTAACTTCCCTCCTCTCCTTACTTGGTCACCCCTAACTGCCCTCCCCTGCAGGTTAGATTTCCCCCAACTGCCCTTCCTTTCAGGCCTGGTCCCTTCCAACTGCCTTCCCCTGCTGGCCATCTTGTGGTGGACATCTTGTGTCCACATGGGGGCAGCCATCTTTGTGTGTTGAAGTGACAATCGATTTGTATATTACTCTTTTACTAGATAGGATAGAGGCTTAGTGCACAGGTGGGGGCCAGCTGGTTTGCCCTGAAGGGTATCCCTGATCAGGATGGGGTTCCCTTGGGGCATGGAGCAGCCTGAGTGAGGGGTCTTTGGTGTTTTTCAGGCCATCTGTGCTCCCTGGCAACCCAAGTGGAGGCCCTAGTATCTGGGATTTATTTATCTTTTATAATTGAAATTTTGTAGTCTTGATCAGAGGCCACGGCTGGCCAGAGCAGGCAGAAAGCTTGGCTCCCTTCATCACCGGGGAAACCCAAGCCTCCTGCTTGCTCCATGGCCACAGCCATCTTGATTGAGTTAATTTGCATACTCATTCCTGATTGGCTGGTGGGCGTGGCTTGTGGGCATAGCAGGTGTATGGTCAATTTGCATGTTTCTCTTTTATTAGTGTAGATAATAAAGGCATAATATGCTAGTTAGACTGGACAGCCGAATGACCTTCCAGGCGTCCTTTTGGATGAAACCGTCCTGGTGGGGGCTGATGCAGAGGTGGTTAGGGGCAATCAGGCAGGCAGAGTGGTTAGGGGTGATCAGCAGGCAGGCAGAGGGGTTAGGGGTGATCAGCAGGCAGGCAGAGGGGTTAGGGGCAATGATTCAGGCATTTAGGTGAATGGTTAGGAGCCAGCAGTCCAGACTGGAAGCAGGTGCAGGTGGGCTAAGCGACTCCCACCCTGTGCATAAATTTCATGCACTGGGTCTCTAGTTTTATCGTATTGAGCAAGTGGTTAAGATTAACATTACCATTTGTCAAAAATAGGCATTGATCTCTCACTAGCCTTTGATTTTATCAAAAGAAAACTTTTGGGAAGCAGACTCTAAAATAAAAAATTATTAAAATTACACACTAAACTACAGATATTTTTGACCCCCGCCCTGTGGTTGTATTATGTAGTTCCTGCATCATATTAGTCAACTTTTCTGTTAACAGCAATGACAGAAATAAGATGGTAGAAAGAGCTGTGCTGTGACCTAAAGTGTGTGCTCCTGGCCTGTGTCAACTAAATAGATCACACAGACTCAGTTTCTTCATAGACACAATGGAATCTGTTCTGACCACTATCTCATAGGATTTCATAAAGACTCAATGTGAAAATGTTTGTTAAATTGTCCTGAAATCAAAATGCATTAAATAAATAAGGGAAAAATAATTATTAGCATTCAGACATTTTCCTTTTAAAACAACTGAAAATATAATTTTAAATAATGCCAGCTATTTACTTAAGAGTTTTTATTAAACCATGAAGAACAATGGCACAGAAATGTTTTAATGCTGAACTCAGTTTCACATTTTAAAGATGTTCAATAAAGTTTTTGCCTTTATTTTATTTCAGAAATGTTCAACCTGAACTGAAATCACTTGCAGTGGGTTTCCATACACTTACTATCCGAGCACTCGGTATGATAAATAGATTATAAATTCAAGATATAAATTTTGACATCAAAGCTCAAAAACAGAGTGTAATTAATTTCAAACTTTAAGAAAGTATAAAACTAAGTATGAATAAATTTCATTTCTATTTTGGTGATTAATGACAAATAACATGCGACAGAGGAAAACTGGGTGAATTAAAAGAGAAATTGTTGATTCTAGTTCAAGTCCATCTTTAACTAGAAAAAGGAATCTATTTGTTTTATACTTTTTCTAGCACAAAAATAGATGGTCTGCAAAGTTTGTTTTGTTTTGTTTCCCTTTCAGACATAAGAATATTTCTTCCCACAGGCAGAGTGGAGGGATTCCTTTTACACTGAGGGCATTAGTACCCCCAATAGCCCAGGAGGGGCCTGGGAATCCAGTCAGACTGAGACTACAAAACAACAGAAGTGGACTTCACTTCCCACTGCCTCTTTCTCTAGGGTGGGGCAGCTAATTTTTATCAGAAGCTTAAAGTGCAGGAGGAAATGACAACTAAAAGAAATGAGCATGTTAGACTAAGGGAGTGTTTTGAATGAAAGCTGGGGAAATTTCAGGGTTTGTTCTTTCCTGTCTCCAGATCCAACGGAGAGGCCTTCCTCCATAATCTAGAGCACAGAAGCTAGTAGAGGAACATAGAATTTGGGGAGCCAGATATGCTGGAATGAGAATGAGAATAAAGGAAGTTCCTCTGGTGACATAAAATAGAATAAAACAAAAAAAGAGAAATTTTGTCATCCTAGTTTGTGAGCATCCTATTTTGATATGTTCAAAATATGACACAGTGGAACCTACCTGCTTCTATGGGAAAAATACCTACTGACTACCAACTCAAAAACAATTGGGGAGGAAGTCTTGGTGTGAGCTCTTTACCTTTTAATTAAAAAAAAAATAGTTGAAAATCTCCTGCTTTGGCAGCAGTTAAGCTGAGAGCTTTTTCACTTCCCTGTGAAGCTATGTCTATTTCCACTCTTCCAGCTCTCGTTGCCAAAAAAAAGGGGGGGGGAGGGGGGGCTAGCCAGCTTAGCTCAATGGATAGAGCATTGGCCTACAGACTGAAGGGTCTCGGGTTCTATTTCCATCAAGGGCACATGCCTGGGTTGTAGACTCAATTCCCAGTCCCAGGTGAGGCAGCCAATCAATGATTCTCTCTCATTATTAATGTTTCTATCTCTCTCTCCCTCTTCTCTCTGAAATCAATAAAAAAAATTTTAAAGGGGTGGGGGGTATGAATCAATATAACATTCATATTTTATAAACAAAGTTCTTCTTTTCACCAATCAGGCTTAAATTAATTGGCACTATAAGAAGAATAGAGAATACAGGCATATGTTTCTATTTGTGGTGGTGGGGTGAGGGTTGATAAAAGATGTCTGTGCTATTATATATGGTTCCAGTTTTTGAAATTCCTTTTTAAAATTTTTTCTTATTAAATTTATTGTGACAATATTGGTTAATTATATTATATGTTTTAAGGATACATATTTATGATATATGATCTCTATATTGCATTATGTGTCTACTACCCAAAGTCAAATCATTCTGTCAACCATATATTTGACCCCTTTTACCCTTTGAGATTCCCAATAATCTTAATTCTTGAGTAGAGATCGGCTAAAACAATGGGAGAGTTCTACAAAGTTTTTAATCCCAAATGTATCAATGTGGATCAACCATTACATTTGAGCAGTGTTCCTTGGATTGACGTTTCACCTCATATTGCAGGAGGAATTCTAGCTCCTATATATTTTGGGGCTCTGATTGATAGATCATGTATGAAGTGGTCCATCAGTAGCTCTGGGAAGCAAGGTTCTTGTAGGATCTATAATTCCAGTCTTTATGGGTAAGTTGTCATTCATTAATATATTTTATTAATTTGTTATTCTTTGATTATATCAATTAAATATCCCATTTAAAATAATTTAAAAATTCTTTGTACTCCAATAAAAAGAATAACTAGAATTGCTGCTTTAATATTTTCATGTATACTTTCAAACACCATTTGTTTGTTTTCTCCCTTTAAGGTCTTCTGAATACTGGAGAGAAGCATTGTAAAGTGTTTCACACATTTTAAAATAAAAATTGACTTTTTTTCTCTTTTCACAGAAAGACCTTCTTGGGCTTGATTGAGAGCTTAAAATTCACAACAGTTATTTTGTTTATTATATTTATTTATGCTATGAAAAAAGTATATAAAGAAAAAGATACCAAGGCATCAGAAAATAGAAGAAAATCTGTGAATGAAGCAAATGTGGAATTCTTAAATAATGATGTTTATTTTGAACCTTCTGCCAAAGCCAACTGTGAATCACATATGTAAGGGTTAAAAAAAAGTCTTTTCTTTCTGGGTTTCCAACAAACATTGCATTAATTTAATAGGATGTTATTGTTGTGTGTTTTTTTCTGGTCCTTTTACTAACTATTCCCATATTCTTTACATATGATGAGACAATGAATTACCCATGAATTTATAATAATTAAACAAACTATAAATAAAAATGAATGTGAGTACTCATTATTATGTGACTGCATTTATGGTTAAGATTAAAGTGAGAATAGTATGTAAGAGAAGAAAAAGTACGTGTGTAACTCAATAAAGCAAGTGACTAGAAAATAGGTAGAGGTAAAAAAATAAATAAATAAATAAATAAATAAATAAATAAATGGAGAGAGAAATTCATAGCCTAAATAAGGAGAAAAGCCTTAAACCTTTTCTAAAGAACAAAGCAATGTGGATTGCCAGAAGCTAATTCCAGCATGTCATAAATGCAAGAAGTTTCAACAAAAGGTTGATGGAACCTTCTGGTTTATTCAGCAAGGCTGAATCATCTGGAATGGCTAAGGGCATTTCCCCTAACCTAAAAGGATGCAAAAATGATTGCTTGCTGCCAGACAGCTGAGGGCATTTTAATCTACAAGTTATTGCCTCCTGCTGGTCAAACACCTGAACAGCCAAAGGCAGTCCCCCAAAAAACAATGCCTATAGTATACTAAACTTTGCCTTTGATGTGTATATCTGCTTTGCCTTAGGAGAATTTGTGTTAATAAAGAGCAAAGGTTCCTGAGACAGATAGAACTTGGTTCCTACAGCCAAGCTCCTCTGGCTACTCCATGGATTACAAATTTATATTATATTTCTAGTCTCTTGATTAATTAAGAGCAGCCCCTTCTCCAGATATTTTGAATCCTAACAGCAGCAGAGAAAGACCAAGACTGCGATAATGGATCACGTTACTAAAGTCCAAAGTCTAGTATAATGGAGGATTAAGGCCATCATGCCATCTGTCACTCATGTATTAAGTCATATCTTTCACAGACCTTAATTGAATTTGTCTAGCAACCTGCTAATACATCTTCTTCCAACCTCCCATTAAAATACTGCTGAAGAAATAAACAAAAATTTGCAAACTATGGTTGTCAGACAATTACAGAATGTGTTATTTCTTTTGAGCTTGGGGAAATGAAGTAAGAAAAACTGATGTTAACTTGAAAAAGCAAATCCCATTTAACAGATGTGTCCTCATTTTATGTCTTCTTTCTGGAAAAAGTGGAGTCTGCACCAGATAATATTTAAATTTTTAAATATATTTTTATTGATTTTAGAGAGGAAAGAAGAGTGCCATTGCAAATGGTAAGATTTTATTGTTGTTTTTAATGGCCAAATAATATTCCATTGTGTAAATGTATCACAACTTTTTTTAATCTACTTGTCTATGGATGGGCAGCACTTGGGTTGCTTTCACATCTTCACTATTGTAAATAAGGTTGTAATGAACATGTAGATGCATATATTCTTTTGAAAGTGTTTTGGGTTTCTTTGGATATACTCCCAGAAACAGAACTGCTGTGTCATAAGGCAGTTTCATTTTTAGTTTTTTGAGGAAGTTCCACACTGTTTTCCATAGTAGCTGCACCAATCTGCATTCCCACCAACAGTGCACAAGTGTTTCCTTTTGCCACATCCTCACAACACTTGTTGCTTATTGATTTATCAATGACAGCCATTCTGACAGGTATAAGGTAACATTTCCTTGTGGTTTTAATTTGCATTTCTCTGGTGATTAGTGGCATTGAACATCTTTTCATATATCAATATGTCATCTTTGAAGAAGTGTCTATTCAAATCCTCTGCCCATTTTAAGTAGTATTGTTTGGTTCATTTTGGTGTTAAATTGTATGAATTGTTCATAGATTTCATACAATCCCTTATCCAATGTATCATTGGCAAGTGTTCTACCATTCTTCAAACTTTCAACCAGAGGCTCTTACCTACATTCAGGGGCGTTCTAAGTGAATTCTGGATTACAGCTTCTACCAGCCTAGAAACATTCTCATTGTCCTTATATTCTACATAAGTAACCATAGTATATTGAGACCCTATTCTCACGTTCTTCTTTTCTACATTCTCCTCACCATTGGGGACTTATATCATTTTTATATATTGACTGTAATTTCAATGTGATGAAGAATAAGGAGGAAGATACACATGGATGTTCATTATTAACCTCATTAATCCCATCTCCATTATTATCCATAAGGCTCTTGTTTTATATTTTCTATAGATTATGAAGTAATACTCTGAGTATGTTTAATTTTTGTTTGTTTTATAGAGTAGATTTGATTTTAAATGTTCATCTTGAATTTTATTAACTTCAATTTTGTAAGAAAAGCTACTTTTTAAAACTTTCATTCTCTAAGATGTTTTATGGAAAATTAGTGTTTGTACACTAACTTGGGACACTGTGAATGGTATAACCATTGGTCTAAAGAGGCCTCATGAATCTGACAAAGTGTTTCTTTGATGATATCTTCACAATAGTCTTTAAGAACTAGTGTCTTTCTAATATGACCCTTTCATTCTTTGGCTCAGACACTTGTGTTTAAGAAAAAGTAACCTGGTTTGAATTGCTGAAAATAAAATTCCAACAATCTTTGCTACATGATTTTTAATAACCTGATTCAGTTTGTCAGTTTGCTGAACAAAATGAGCAAATGTATGGCATGAATAATAGAGCAGAGAATGGGTTGAAAGCATGTGATGGTACATTGATGAGGAAACTATTTTCAAAGTCATATCTAGAATAAATAGTAGTTAAAGAATAATCCTACCTAATAAAAGAGTAATATGCAAATTAATCATCACTCTACTATACCCACCAGCCATGCCCACCAGCCCTGCCCACCAGCCAATTAGAGTGAGCATACAAATAAACCCAACCAAGATGGCTACAGCCACAGAGAGCAGGAGGGAGGCTTGGGTTTCCCTAAAAACGGAAAAAGCCAAGCTCCCCCCCTGCCCTTGCCAGCCTAAGCCTCCACAAAGTTTCAATTATAGAAGGTAAGCAAATCCAAACAGAAATGGCTGCAGCCACAAAGGGAGCAGGAGGGTTGGCTCCACTCCAGGCTACAAAGTTTCAATTGTAGAAGGTAAATAAATTCCAGATACCAGAGCCTCCGCTTGGGTCGCCAAGGGGCATGGCTGTCCTGCAAACCATCACAGGCCCCTCGCCCAGGCTGCCCCACACCTCAAAGGAATACCCATCCTGATCTGAGACAGCTTTCAGGGCAAACCAGCTGGCTCCCATCCATGCACCATGCCTCTATCCTATCTAATAAAAGAGTAATATGCAGCTTGACCATCACTCCAACACACAAGATGGCTGCCCCCATGTAGTCAAAGATCCTGCCCCCATATGGACACAAGATGGCCACCACAAGATGGCCAGCAGGGTAGGGCAGTTGAGAGGGCAGTTGAAAGGGAGGGCAGTTGGGGGCAATCAGGCCTGCAGGGGAGGGCAGTTAGGGGTGACCAGGCCTGAAGGGGAAGGCAGTTAGGGGCAAAGAGGCTGGCAGGGGAGCAGTTAGGCATCAATCAGGCTGGCAGCAGAGTGTTTAGGGGTGATCAGGCTGGAAGGAGAAGCAGTTAGGGGCAATCAGGAAGGCAGGCTGGTGAGGAGCTGGGAGCCAGCAGTCCTGGATTGTGAGAGGAATTGGTCCTAACCAGGCAATCAGACATCCTTGAGGGGTCCCAAATTGGAAAGGGTGCAGGCTGGACTGAGGGACACCCCCACTCCATGCAAGAATTTTGTGCACTGGGACTCTAGTTTATAAATAAAAGAAAACAGCGTAGGCTTCTTTCAATTGGAAGCAGTAAATTTGAATAAAATAAATATTCACATAAGCAGGATGAGAATTCCAGTTTCTAACCCCAATACCAAAACAGATACTTAATGGAATTAAATAGATTTTATAACAGGGAATTTTTAGAATCATTTGGAAAAGACAATGCAGAAAATATATTCTTATTGTATGTAAGTTAAAAGAGAAATTGCTGTTTTAACATAAATATAAAGTTGGCTGTAGGCCTGATCAGATGGCTCAGTTGATAGGAGTGTCATTCAGTACACCAAAAGGTTGTGGGTTTGATTCCCAGTCAGGGCACACACCTAGGTTGTGGGTTCTATCACAGGGAGGCAATTGATCAATGTTTCTCACTTTGTTGTTTCTACATCTCTCTCTCTCTCCCCCTCCCCACTTCCTAGCTATAGAAATTAATAGAAATATATTCTTGGGTGAGGATTAACAAAAAAATTTTAAATAATAAAGCTGGCTCTAATATCCAGTCTTTAGGGTTGTTATAAATGTCCATCTAAGGAAAACCTCAAGTGCCATTGATGGCTCAGAAATACCATCAGTGAACTCTTTATTTTTTACCCTAAGTGGAAAAACATTTTTAGGTTCCTAGACAAGAAAAGGTTACCTGCAGTACCTTTATTGGTCTTTGCAAACAATTAAGTTATAGAGTGTTCTTCAAATCTGGGAGGATATTACATTTTAGTTTTCAATACATCATTACTCAAAACTTTGGAAGTTTGGTCCATTTCTTGGCACTCATTCCCTGTAACCTTTGCCTCTATAGGCATAGCGCCTGAAGTGGTATTTTCACCAGGTAGAGGACGCTTCCTCAAAATAATTAGGATAAAAATCCCTGGAATATAGCTTAATCCTCTTAGTGCAGCTGGCAATCCAAGGTAGAGGTGTCTGTCAAAAAACAAAAATTGAAACATATTAAATTTTATATAGACAGTATGGTGAATACCAACTAGTCCTGTAGATCTTTAATTATCGATATTTTATTCCCATAAGAACAACAGCAGCTAATTGTTTTGCATGTTGATCATACATACGCAACTTTGCTAAACTCACTTATTAATTTTTGTTAAAAATGGTTTCTTTAGAATTTTTCATCCAGAAAATCTAATTTTTTTTTCTGATTTTTTTTTTCAGTATTATTTTTATTTGTTTACATTGACTAGACAGTCCAACTTAAATTGAATACTGACAGTGATTGCACTTCTAGGCCAGTGTTTAACAAAAATACTCCTAAAGAATCACCATTATCAATAGATCACCAAAGATTTGTAAAGCTTGGACTCAGTGCTTTTAGAGATGGGAATTTTGATTGATTCCGTTTAAATTGATATAAAATATTCATGTTTTTATATACTTATAGTAAAATTTTGGTAATATATATTTGCTTAGAAAATTCTCATTCAATATGTTTCCAACTTGTTATATCAAAAACCCATAAGTAACTGTACTTATATTCCCTTTTTCATTTTTAATCCTCACTGGAAAATATTTTTTATTGATTTGAGAGAAAGAGAGCAAAAATGGGTGGAGGGACATTGATGTGAGAGAGAAATATCGATTAATTGCCTTCTGTACATGCTCTGACTTGGAATCAAATTCAAAATCTAGATATGTGCCTTCACCAGGAATCGAATCTGTAACTCTTTGATGAATGAGATGATTCTTCAACCAACTAAGCCACCTGGCCAGGGCCCTTTTTCATTCATAATACTGTTTATTTGTTACCTCTCTTTATTTGTATTTCTAGATTAACTGCCATTATTATATTTTAAAGTTTGCAAAAACACAATTTTTTGTTACATCTATGTTATGTAGCATATTAATTTCTGCTTTGTATTTTCATCTTTCTACTTCTAAAACGTAATTTTATTATGAAACATTTCAAGAGTACAGGGAAAAAAATTAAACAAGTCTTAACTCACTATCAAGGTTTTTTAAATTAATAAATTTGCTAATTTTATTTCAGACCAATTTAGCAAAAAATACTAATACATTTAAGTCCTCTGTGTACCCTATAATCCTAATGCTTTTTAATCCATCCCAGATATAACATTATGTTGAATATCATTAATTTTGTTTCTCATTTATTTTTAAAGTTTTACAAAGTATATATATATATGTATACATTTAAGGTTTATACAATTATTTTATGTGTTTTTTACATTTTAAATAATTGGCATAATACTGCCCCATTAGGAGAACTTAATTCAAATTTAAACCAAATTCTGATATCCAAAATAGAAAGAGAAAAATGGAAAAGTTTTGTTCAAAAACTTGTTAATATCCTATGTTTTGTTCAAAATCAGATTTTGATTAACCAAAAAAAAAAAAAAAAAAAAAAAAGCCTTCAAGAGACATGAAGAATATTGTGATAGTGAAATTTAATGAGAGAGAACAAATATCACTTTGGAGATCAGAGGTATTTGGTGAAAGGAAATAAGGATTCAAGCTAGTAAGATGCTAAAATGATGGAGGATGAAATGGGACACTTTAGATCAGCAATTTTCAACTGTGCGCAAGAATTTTTAAAACATGTGATCCTTGACTATTTAGTCAAGGGCACTGACCTCTTTTCCCTTAAATTTTCAAATTAAAAAATTACAACAATCAATACAACAATAGCTGTCCAGTGTGAATAAATCAAAATTAACTTTTCTTTTGTCAAATTGGCAAAAATATATGTATATATTTTTGGTGTGCTGCAGAATTTTAGTAATTAGTTTATATATGCCATGAAAAGAAAAGGATTAAAATTGCTGCTTTAGAGAATAAAATAATTTCGATAGATAACTTATGTATAGCCATTACCTTCAATAATGCATTGACTGCAAACAATTAAACAAACAACATTTTGAAAGGCTAAGTTAGGAAATCACCCATGATAATATTTATCAAGTACTTTGAAAATATTGAGAAAATGGAATTCTAGCACATAAATAAAAGTGGGGATATAGGATCAATATCTATTCTGAAAACAAAACAAAAAGTAGACTAGTCACTTGGCAAAGAAAATATTAGACATTAGAGGTCTGGTGCACGAATTTATGCACCAGTGAGGTCTCTTGGCCTGGCCTACAGGATGGGGCCGAAACCAGCTCCCCAACATCCCTTGAGGGGTCCCGAATTGCAAGAGGGTGCAGGCCAGGCTGAGGGACCCCACCAGTGCATGATCAGGGCCAGGGAGGGATGCAAGAGATTGGCTCTAGGGCATGTCCTGATTGGAAAGATCCCAGCAGCAAGCTAACCTACCGTGTTTCCCCAAAAATAAGACATCCTCCGAAAATAAGACCTACTTACAGGTTTCCTTCTGAGTGAAATATAAGGCATCCCCCCGAAAATAAGGCCCCCTAGGCTAAACATGAGAGATTTGGTCCACTGATTCTGAAAGAAATGGAGTCACAAGAAATTCACCAGGAAATTCAGGAATTGCATAGTTATGATGATGTTCCAGAAGATGACGACATGATTGTCATTGAATAAATGAGTAAATTCTTGATACTGTAGGATTCACAGTGTCTGGTTTGTGTTGACAACTACTGTACTACCATACTGTATACAGGTAATAAATTTCCTTTATTTTTATTTAACAATAAATGTGTACCGTATTTCTTCTTCATGGAAAAATAAGATATCCCCTGAAAATAAGACCTAGCTTATCTTTGGGAGCAAAAATTAATATAAGACACTGTCTTATTTTCAGGGAAACAGAGTACCAGTCGGAGCATTTGCCCCCTGGTGGTCAGTGCACATCATAGCAACTGGTTGACCAGTCGACTGTCTGCCTCCTGGTGGTCAGTGCACATTATAGTAAGTGGTTGAGTGGCCTTAGCATATTGTTAGCATTCTCGTGGCCCAGTGCATGAAATTCGTGCACGGGGAGGGGTGTTCCTCAGTACAGCCCTGCACCCTCTTCAATCTGGAATCCCTCGAAGGATGTCCTACTGCCAATTTACAGGGATTGGGACTAAATTGGCAATTGGACATCCCTCTCACAATCCGGGACTGCTGGCTCTAGCCACTTACCTTCCTGCCTGCCTGCCTGATTGCCCCTAACCACTCTGCCTGACAGCCTGCTTGCCCCAATTGCCCCCCATGACTTGCCTGCATGCCCCCAAATGCATTCCATCAGCCTAATCACCTCCAACTGCCCCCCCTGCTGGCCTGCTCACTCCCACCTCCCCTCCTGCCCCCCTGTTGGCCTGCTCACTCCAAACTGCCCCCGCTGCTGTCCTGATCACCTCCAACTGGCCCACTGCTGGTCTGCTTACCCCCAGCAACTCCACCCCCCACCAACCTGATCACCCACAGCTGCTGTCTCATCATGGTCTGATCACTCCCTGGCAACACAAGCTCCCAGCCCCTCTTTTCTTTCTTTCTCTTTTTCTCTTTCTTTCTTTCTTTCTTTCTTTCTTTCTTTCTTTCTTTCTTTCTTTCTTTCTTTCTCTCTTTCTTTCTTTCTCTCTTTCTTTCTCTCTCTCTTCTTTCTTTCTTTCTTTCTTTCTTTCTTTCTTTCTTTCTTTCTTTCTTTCTTTCTTTCTTTCTTTCTTTTTTTTTCTTCCAGCCAGCCCCTGCCTCCTTGAGTGGAGGCCAGGGCTGGCTGGAAGCAAATATCTGGGATTTATTTATCTTCTATAATTAAAACTTTATAGCCTTGAGCGGAGGCAGGGGTCATCCAGGGCAGGTGGAAACTTGGCTTCCTCCGTTGCCAGGGCAACCCAAGCCTCCTGCTTACTCCAGTTCTATGGCTGCCACCATTTTTATTGGGACTTATTTATCTTCTATAATTGAAACTTTGTAGCCTTTAGAGGAGGCCAGGGCTGGCCAGGGCAAGTGGAAATCTTGGCTTCCTCCATCACTGGGGCAACCCAAGCCTCCTCCTCACTCCAGCTCTGTGACCGCTTCCATCTTATTTGGGTTAATTTGCATACTCACTCCTGATTGGCTGGTGGGAGTGGCTTGTGGGCATAGCAGAAGTACGGTCAATTTGCATGTTTCTCTTTTATTAGTATAGATTATGTTTTGATTGGTTGAACGGCTGACCAGACAACCAGAGACTTAGCATATTAGGCTTTTATTATATAGGATGATTGGTGACATTTTATGCAGTCTATGCTAAGAAAACAATTCTTTTAAAAAATTATTATCTTTACCTGAAGTTGGTGGAATCATATATTCTGCATGCTCCTGACTCACCACATTTAAAAGTTGCCCAATGTAAACATGTGGAGTCCAATAAAGCTCCAAAATATATAGGTGCAGGGATTCCAGCTACAATAAAAGAGAGAAAGAAAACTCTATCAAGAAGGTAAGAATTAAGATGCATTATACTGTTTGGGAGAATTTTTATTTCCTCTATTTAAAGAACCAACAAAATTAACAATATCTAAATTTAATACTTGACTTTTTTTTAGAGAGATTAGAAATTACTTTTACTCTTAAAGTTTCTAGATTATAAAGGATAAGTAATCTTGTGGACAAATGCAACAAAAAACTATTGATAGAGAAAAACATTGAATTCATGATTATATTTTTTCTGCAATGTTTTAACATAGGATTTCCTGTTCATTTGATTTTTAAATCCAGAATATGAAAAGTAGAATTAAGTTTAGGACTTTTTTTTAAGTAAAAGAAGGAAGTTCTCTAGTCCTTCTTGCACTTCTTCCTCATACTAATTACAGAATGCTATCTAAAGTGGAAGGGATATTTGCTAGACTCTTGCTCTGATAGAGTGAGTTAATTTACTTAGCATTTAATAATGGTCCGATATAACATTGGGAAAAAATGACTATTTTTACCAAATACTCTTGTGGAAAATGCATGCACTCCCACACCAAGAGACTTCTCTTCAGACTTAATACACCTAAAAGAGAAATGAATTCACAAATAAAATAATGAGATTTTAAAACTACCATATGCAATGGTGGAATATTTCTCAGCAATAAAAAATGACTGAAATGTTGTCATTTGCAAAAACATAGATGGACATAGAGGGTATTACGTTAAATGAAGTAAGTCAGACAGAGAAAGATAAGTACTATATGTTTTCACTTATATATGGAATCTAAAAAAAATAATACAAATGAATAAGCAAATCAAAGCAGAAGCAGACACATAGATGCAGAGACCAATGTGATGGTTGCCAGAAGATAGAGGTTGTGGACTGTGTGAAATGTTTTAAAAATAAAGCAACTTTTGGCCTGGTCAGGGTGGCTCAGTGGTTGAGCATCGACCTCTGAACCAGGAGGACACAGTTCGATTCCCAGTCAGGGCGTATGGCCCCATGTGAGCTAAATTTCCAGTGGGAGGCACGTGAAGAAGGCAGCCAATCAATGATTCTCTCTCATCACTGATGCTTCTATCTCTCTCTCTTCCTTCCTCTCTAAAATCAATACAAATATTTTTTTTAAAAAAATCAAATAAAGCCATTTTAAAAAAATAAATAGGTTAATTTCTTTTTTCTTAACTTTTATTTATTGATGAGAGAGAGAGAGAGAGAGAGAGAGAGGAGAGAGAGATTGACATTGATTTGTTGCTCCACTTATTTATGCATTTAAAGGTTGACTATTGTATGTGCCTTGATTAGAGCTCTAACCCACAACCCTGTCTTATTATAGCAACGATGCTCTAACCAAGTAAGTTACCTGGCCAGAGACTACTATCATAATTTCTTCACAGGATTCTTTGTGTATTAGTAACACACTGAGCATTAGAATTTCCTTGCATGCTCTAGTCTTGGTTATTCAAGGCCTGATTATCCAGTTTGTAGCCTGTACAGTAAGTAGCCAGCACTTCCAGTTCTTGGCATTTTACCCAAAACTTTTCCTCATTCGTTTCTATCAGAAAGTTGTCAAAGGAGAATATATTCCATATCAGTTCATTTCTATCCTCTCATTGAAGTAATAGTTCTGATTCTAATGGTTCAACCTTTAGCCTAAAACAAGAACAATGCAACCCTAGCTATTTTTGAATTATTTGTATTAGCAAAATACAGGAAAGCCAATAATTTACACAAGTAAATGCAAGGAGGAAAGAAATAATAAAAATTTTCCAAGGAAAGTGATGAAAAACTCCAAAGCAAACATATGTTAAGTGATTTGGTATAATTTCAAGTCACACTGATGTCTTTTTCTCTAGAGAAATTCTCCCACCTTTTCACTGATGCCTGAAATGCCTATAAGTAGAAATGAAGACTATAATTCTCCAGTGCCACTGTTTGCGCCTCACTCATTTCAGCATCAGCAGTGCTACCTGCTCAAAGAATTCACATGGAGAGCTCCTCTGTATTCCATTTCCTTCCCTGATTAAATAAGGGCTAAGAAAATAAAAGCCGCTTTCTTCACAAAAGGATGCAATATATATATATATATATATATATATATATATATATATATATATATATGTATGTATATATATATATATTTTTAGCAAAAGCATCATCTTATTGGTATTTCCTTGTAACCTTATGGCATAGACTCTTTTTGTGTTAAACAATTAGAATTTTCCTAAATTAACTCTTAAAAATAAGGAATAAAAGAAACAGAGGGAAAAGTCAACAGATGAACATGTGTAGGGCTACCTTTAAAATTTCACAAAATTCAATAATGCTTTAATGCAAAACTCTTAGTGAATGACATATTAAAGCATTGAATTCCTAGGCCATGAGCTCCATCGGGCTTTCTGAGAAAGTTACCTTAATAAATGACCAGAAAGGAATCTAAATAAAGAAAATAATTTATGTACCTCAGGAGAACCATATATCCAGGTATGGCGGATAAAGAGTAAATGAAGCTGCTAATCGACGACAAGATTAAATAGTACTGGAGCATCATGGAACAGTCATGTCCTTTGTCACATATCCCAAGAACTGCAGATGAATTTCCTGAGGTTTGAATGCAGCTACAGTTATGGAACATCTGTCAAAAAATAATACATTATCCTCTTTAAGGAAGAAAAATTTTAAACACAGATGTCAAATAATTTTTACATCCCCCATCGGATCAAAATGGAGACTGTATATTTCTTTTATTCTCATCTTCTTTATAGTGTCTCTCAGGATCATAACAAAAAGTGAAAAAACATAGAGGGATAGTTTCAGAAACATGGCATTTCTCTCTAAATATATGGAGTACATTTGCAATAGTTCACCTATCCTGAAGTCATGCTTTTAAAAAAGACTTACTGTTTTGTCACAATACAAAGTATGAGAAACAAAATTTATTCCAGAATGCTCAGTTGAAATATTTAGATAATTAAGATAAGTAAAGCTTTGTTTTATATATATATATATATATATATATATATATATATATATATATATAGTTTGTTTCAAAAACAGAGTAAAGTTCATTCTTTTTGGAATTCTTGTATGTTTCCAGGTTTTAATAAGACTCAAAATTTATATTTACTATTATCACCAGCCAACATTTTTAGACAAGAAAACATGCCTAAATCCATCTTACAAAGCTCTCAGAATGCAGAACACATAGGTAACATGTGCATACGTATGCACAGGGGAAAAAAAACTCCAGCAAAACAATTCACTGGATGCTTGAGATCAAGCTGTCAACTTTATCTCAATGATAAAACTATTTCAGCCCAGAGTATTTTTAAAACAAATTATCTGAGTAATAATGTCAACTGCTATAAAATTAAAGACCAGTGCTCAGACACTCTAAAATAAGACCTAGGAAGTAAAAGGTAAATCAAGTGAGCATATGAAAAAGAAAATGTTTATTTTTTTTCCTACAAAATAATTTGGTTTAGGCGAAAGACTATAATTGTACTTTTATCAAATGTGGGCCCAGTTCAGTTGGAAAGTGCCAATATAGTTCATAAATCAAAAATGTTGTTTAAAAAGCCAATAGGTTATGTTACCATGTTCATTCCTGTTCCAACAAACGTCTCACAACCAGCAAGACAAGCTGACATATATGACAAACCATTGCTTCCACACACGGGGTCCCATGTTTTAGTGGGACAGTTACAACCCAGATTGCAATCATCAAGGATGACATTTCCAATGTGTAAATCTTGTTGCATTCTGAAATGAGTTAAAATAATATCATGAATATTGAAAGACTATTAGATCATTTTCTCTTTCTTTTTTTCATCTAAGTCCACAATTAAATTTTTTCTTCCCCAAAATAGAAACAGAAAACTTCCAACCATCAGTGTGAGGTCTGGGGATTATAGGTAGGGCATAAAAGATGGCTGCTTCAGTGACCACATAGCCACTTTTTTCAATGATTTACTGAACATAAACAAATAGATGATGATCAAAAACCAGTTGAGTGCCTACCATAAGGGAGGTATTTTTCCAAGTATTATTAGAACTCAAAAATAAAGTTGCCCTAATCCCTATGGTTGATCCACATCATGGGAAGTAACAAGAGAGATCATATTCTATTAATGCAATCTCAAGAGCTCACTTTAAGGTCAAAATCTGGCCCTTCTCAGGGTGGCTCAGTTGAATGTCATCTCATGCACCAAAAGTCACTGGCCCAGGTTACGGGTTCGGGTGCATACGGGAGGCCACCGATAAATGTTTCTCTCTCCCTCTCCATTGATCTCTCTCTAAAATCAATAAAAACACATTTTTAACAAAATCTGTAAGTCCAACATTATAGATAATACATTTAGCTCCAGAAACATAACTACAAAATATGTGTAAACAAATATATTCTTCTAATATAAAACTGTATCAGGAACAATCAGTGCTGCCATTTTGATGACCACTCATCCAGGAAGCCCGGCCGGGGAACCTGGGCTCATCCTACAACCTCACTAAGACAGGGAGTCAAGCTGGTAGCCCTGCTCTACTGTTCAGTATAGCTGTATAGCTTCTGACCTCACACAACCAAAAACCCTGAGCATCCTCAAAACCCAGCATAACACACTGCCAGACCATGAAGCCAAGCCTATAGCACTGCTCAGCCACAGAGCCCAGCCTACAGCCCTACCAATGGCTTAACACAATCAGCAGCCTTACTCAGTCATGGAATCTAGCCAATAACCCCACTTAATCATGCAGCTTATCCTATGGCCTCACTCGGTGAGAGAAAGTGGACTGTGAGCCTGCTCGATCAGGGAGCACAGATTCTAGCACATCCAACCTTCCTATAGACCCAGAAAACCCTCAAAATATAAACCTAAAACTACTGAACAATGATACATAATTATACAAATGAAATACATGAATTTATATGAGTTACTGCATTATGTATCAAGATTGGATTAAGCTAAATTTAAGCTTATTGTGGATACATAAAAGTGATTGAGGATGTATGCTCAACTCTTAATTTTACCCATTTCCGAGAATACAAAATATTTAGATAACATATCCCAATGCAACCTAAAACTATAAGTAGTTTCTTTTTATATCACTTTAATATCTAGTAGGATATTACAAAGACACACATAGACACATGTGCAATCATAAACTCACCAACCCTGTCATATATCCCCATCCTCTTTATTAAATCTGGAGCCTGAATACATTTGGTTGTAATTGACAGATGAAGGAAAGATGAAAGACCATAGTTGCTATCATTAACAAATGGTCTGGTCATGGATAATCATTGGAGAAAATGTGTTATTAACTATTCACATGTATAGCATTCTTTATTTTAAAAAATACCCTTTATAATCGGTGGTTATGCCAGCAACTGAAGAATCATCACAGACCATGAAAAAACATGAAAAGTAGAGAATAAAATCAATGAAAGAAAACCAAAATGCTACGTGGGCAGCTTGTTTGACAGTAATTTTGAACTTTTTCATCATTAATCCGCCGAATATATATCCAATACATATTGGAGGTAAGTTGTAAATACCTATAAATGCAAGAAATGTTATTTACAATGTGACTTAGCAAAGGAACAATATGATATTACTTTTATCTAACTATAGACTGCATAAAAGATATCAAGCACGTCTTACATATAAAAACAATGAAACATTTAGGTCCATTTCACAGTAAATATGGGTGATTTAATTTTATCCCTCCTTAGTTACATGCTATCTACAGAGAGATTTTTAAATACCCCTCAATGTCAAAGTATATTTTGAAAATCTATTATCATTCATTTAATTGATAACAGAAGGAGATAAAATGTTATGTAGAATCCAGGCAGAAGCGACAAGTCAAAGATGACCGACCAGTAATTTATTGCTTTCCATTTTGGGAATATATATATATATATATATATATATATATATATATATATGATTTATATGATTTTGCTGTTGTTTATTCCCATTTTAGTTAAGAATTTGGCACAGCTTAAGATACTTTAAAAGGTTACTACCTGTGATTGCCAATTGTATTTACAATGCATGTCTTGCTGCTACTCCTCAGTCCACACAAGGAAAAAAGAAGGAAAAGGAAAAGACAGCCTTGTGTTGCATTCTTACATAGGATCTGCTCACTGAATTACCCCCTTGTAAGAGGTTGTTAAAAATCGTTTCCAGAGCCCCACACCAGAGATTCAGTATGTCTGAGTCAGTATGTCTAAGGTGGGCACCAGGTATCTGAACTTTTAACTAACACTCTAGGTGATCTGGATGCAGATAATTTAGGAAATTCACTTTCAAAACTGTAAAGAGATCCTTAGAGAAACCTAAATAGGGAGAGGGGAGGATGGTGTAGTCATGTGGTCACAAGAAAATCAGAATCTATGGGCTGCAGAGACACCTGAAACCACCAGAGGGACCAGGGGAACCATGAAATTCATGACTGGGAGCCAAGAGTAAAATCTGAGAGTAAAACATTGACTCCTAACGAATTCATTCTCTTACTTTTTTATTTTTATTTTCATTAATAGATTGGCTATCTGAAAATTGTAACTAATTTGTGCATTCCTTGAGATTTTCAGAAATGTTTTGAATTTGTGTCTGGAGAGAGAGAGAGCCTTTGTTGATTTCATTGAAGAGAAGGGAGAAATGTATCAGAGACAAAAATATCCTAACAGATATTAATTTAGGAGTTTCCTAGACTCATCATCACTCTGTTTACCATTTCAGGGGGGAGGAGGGGAGTGGGCTACTAATGCTGAAGAGGACAAACATACCAATTAGAAAGATTGCATCTGAAGTTGACTTCCCATATTGCTGTTCCACGTATTTAGGCATGAAGAACACCATATTAATAAATGCATTGAACTGTACCACACTTATTAGCATAAAAAGCATGTAAACTGGGTTGCAAAAAAGACTTTTCATGAATGGTAAAAAATCTGAAAGGGAAGAGAGACAGCAATGTCAAACTAACTCATTTCTGCATTTTCTGATAGACTTTTTCTGAAACATCAACTTGCCCTCCAAATTGCTTTCCTGTTTTATAATGCACACATTGCTAACTCTTTTTACTTCTTAGAAGCTGAAGTTATGCCATTGTTGTGGGCAGCTCCTGCAAGTCAGTGACACAGCTGACTAGATAGGTATCATAGCACAATAGTTTTGTCTTCACTAAGTTACTATTGTGTCTTAAGGAAAAACCAAAACATTGTCTGCATTCATACCACTTCATTTTATCCTTCTAATTAATATCCTCTCTTCTCTAGAGATCATCTGGAATGAAAGATATTTGTCCTATTCTCTAACGTCTGAAAGAAAGTCAATTTGATAAAGAAGTTCACACTCTAATATTGATATTATCATTCCTAAATATCTATACTAATAATAGAGGAATATGCAAATTGTCCAGGATGCTGTCACAGTAATGATCCAACAGCAGGCTGCATGCGGCGACAAGGCCAGCAGGGAGGTTAGTGAGGGACAACCAAATGACTGAACAGCAGACTGCGTGGGGCTACTAGGCCAGCAGGGGGGTTAGTAAGGGATGACCAAACGACTGAACAACAGGCTGCGTGGGACAACCAGGCTGGCGGCGGGGAGCGGGGGGGGAGGGGGGAGAGACATTTAGGGGCTACCAGGCCAGTGGGGGTTGCAGTTGGGGGTGGCCAGGACGGCAGGCAAAGGCAGTTAGGGGTGATCAGGCTGGCAGGGGGGACAGTTAGGAGCGATCAAGCAGGCAGGCAGGTGAGCAGTTAGGAGACAGTGGTCCCAGATTGTGAGAGGGATGTCCGACATTATTGACTGCTGACTGTTAATGGCAAATTGTCCTAATGTAGCCTAGCATGTTATAGTGCTGACTTAGAAACACATCTATATAAAACAAAAAGTAAATTATATAGTATTTAAAACTTTTATATTTGCCTTTAGTGATTCCATTGTTTTCCTTCTTGACTTCTTTTTGTTTCTCTTCTTTGTCATTTTTTACAACGTCAGCATTATCCTTTGATCCTTCCTTTGCAAGCGTTTTGGGCAAAAAGAAAAAAGGAATGGCAGTGAGCACATTCACTCCTGCACAAATCAAAATGCCGAACCACCATGCACCAACCCAACGAGTATCAATTGGAGTGATAGTCAACTCATCTGTAAAAAAATATATACACATATTTTTTATTAGCTTTAGTCATTTCCTATGTGAACTACAGGGAAAAAAAATTAAATTACTATTCTCAGGTTCTATCCAAGTATAGTTTGTATACAATTCAAACATTCATAAAAGTTGTCTGACAATGGACACAGATACATGGGCGATGGAGGCTTGCCCGGGAAGGGAATGGCTGGCCGGCAGGGAGGGTGGGGGGGGGGGGGGGTCAATTGGGGGAAAAGGAGACAGATGTAAAATTTTAGACAATAAAAAAAAAAGTTGTAAAAAAAAAAAGTTGTCTGACAATGCATAGAGTTATAATAATGTCTAGCAATAAATTTGTTTGGAAATATGTTCTATCATGTAAGGAATTTATAAACATGTACTTATTAAATAACTATAAGGTCTAATTATCCAAAATGTTTGCTTGATTAAAGGAAATTCAAATCTATATGCTGAAATCTTTTAAAAACAAAAAATATGGTCGTGGTGCAGTAGAACGAGCATTGAATTTTGAGTCAGAAGATCAGAATTTTATCTTGCTTTCCTGCTCACTGGTATGAATTGTTCAAAGATTTATTTAAACTCCTCCACTTTAGTTTAAACTCCCAGACAATAGTGAATCTATCTAATTGAGGGTCAAGTAGAGCAACAATAAACATGGTAGCATACCTGTAGTGGCTTTGTGTGCTCTAGACACTATGACTAGATGTTAATGAATTACCTGTGGCCGAAACCAGTTTGGCTCAGTGGATAGAGCGTCGGCCTGCGGACTGAAAGGTCCCGGGTTCGATTCCGGTCAAGGGCATGTACCTTGTTTGCAGGCACATCCCCAGTGAGGGGTATGCAAGAGGCAGCTGATCGATGATTCTCTCTCATTGATGTTTCTAACTCTCTATCCCTCGCTCTTCCTCTCTGTAAAAAAATCAATAAAATATATTTAAAAAAAAAAAAAAGAATTACCTGTGTTGACAGATCCGGTATCAACATAAACATTTGCACAGAATGATGCTAACAAAAGTCCAAACAAAGGACCAATGATAGCTCCTGTTTCTACAAACCCTAAAAATAAAAGAAAATATAAAGTTATAGTATAGTTATATACCCACATAATGAGTTCTAATTCCACAAAGAGGCTCAAAACTGAATTGTTTTTGTTTTAGATATTTTTGCCTTAGTAGTCAATTTTCAAGTAACTTAAGTTGGTGTCCATATATGTAACAAGATTGATTCTGTAAGCCTTGAAGAAGGAGCCTTATAACTTAAAACCACTTTCTCTAAGCCTCCAAATTCACTTTTGCCGGGTCACAGGTAAAGACTTGCTAGAGCAGCATAGGATGGGATCATGGTATCATTGAAGCCACAAGACATAGTAAGATTATGCATAATAAGTTAAAAATATTTAGGGAATCGGAAAACAGCACAAGATGGTGAATTTTAATTTGGCTATAGTGGAAGGTGACATTGATTGATTTTAGAAAAGAAAATTTCAAGAAACAACCAAATGTACAAAGACAGACAAATTATGAAAATGTGTAACTAGTATGGAGAGATTGTGATGAAGTGAAACAATATAGGAAACTAAATAAATAGATGGTTTTCTCTCATCATTGATGTTTCTCTCCTTCTACCTTTCTCTCTGAAATCAATAAAAATCAGATTTAAAAAAAAAATAAACATAATGAAAACAGTGAGGAAAGTGTTTAATATGAGGGGTATTTTTAAGAAACCATTGGTGAATCTCTTCACAGATTGGATGTAGAGTGGAACCAATGAAAAGAAAGAGTCAAAGAGAACTACAGAGACACTAGATTAGTGGTATTTTCAACAGCAAAGGGCAGATTTAGCAAAGTGGTTTATTTGGAGTTAGCATGTAATTGTTCCATTGAACAAACTCTTACTGATGACTGTCTGTGCCACAATACTTTTTCATCATCTGGAAATCAGTTAAGACTCCAAATAAATAATTAATACCCACCCACAAGGAACTTAATTATCCTGTAAAGAAGCTAAGGCATATTTTCAAACTCACCAATATATAAAGGAGAGTTTTCAGATTTGGCAAAATCTTCTATGTAGGAAATACCCAAAGGCATGATGGGAGTTTCGCCAATTCCACGTATCATATTTCCTACTAGTACATACACCCACATTAATGATTTAACTTCCTTCACACACTCTGCATAAAAAAGAAAAAACATATTGCATTAGTGTTTTGATAGTAAAGTATCTATACTAATAAAAGCCTAGATGGCATGTCACCCTCCTGTCAGCACAAGATGGCCACCCCCATGTCGTCACAAGGTCAGGGGATGGCAATTGGGGGCCATCAGGCCAGCAGAGGAGGGCAGTTGGGGGCAAGAACAAGCCAGCAGGGAAGGGCAGTTGGGGGTGACCAGGCTTGCAGGGGAGGGCAGTTGTGGGCCATCAGGCTGGCAGGCAAGGACAGTTTTGGGCAATCAGGCTGGCAGGGGAAGGCAGTTGGGGGTGACCAGGCCAAGCAAGGGAGGGCAATTGGGGGCAAATGAGCCAGCAGGGGAGGGCAGTTGGGGGCAATTGGGCCTGCAGAGGAGAGAAGTTGGAGGCTATCGGGCTGGCAGGGAAGCAGTTAGATATCAATCAGGCTGGCAGAGGAGTGGTTAGGGGGTGATCAGGCTGGCAGGCAGAAACAGTTAGGTGCAATCAGGCAGGCAGGCAAGCAGTTAGGAGCCAGCAGTCCCAGATTGTGAGAGGGATGTATGACTGCTGGCATCCTCCAAGGAGTGCCAGATTGGAGAGGGTGTAGGCTGAGCTGAGGAATACCCAGTGAAATTCATGCACTGGGCCTCTAGTCTATATATATATATATATATATATATATATATATATATATATATATATATATATGTCTAAGAGACCTTTACAACTGAACGACCAGTCAACCAGTCACTATGACACTCACTGACCACCAGGGGGCAGATGCTCAACACAGAAGCTGCCCCCTGGTGGTCAGTGTGCTCTCATAGACAATCTCCCACAGTCCTTCCCCCCGGCCAGCCCTGATCGCCCTGATCAGGACTGAGTGAGAAGGCCCCAATAGGCCCTGATCACCATCCGGCCAAGGGACCCCACCTGAGCACAAATTCATGCACTGGGCCTCTAGTTAAGCTATAAGTATGGATGTAATTCTAAGATTCTGGTAAGCATTTCATAGTTCTTATGTGACATGGCACCTTATAAATGATTTATATTACTATGCTAGCAATAATTCACTGGGTCATCCCTCTGGCATTTTCTGAGAGTACTTAGATATGTCCAAGTATAAGTTGTATGCGGAAGCCATTTCCTACTGAACTGAAAGAGAGCTCTTGATGAGTATTATACACACCTCTTCCCAATCCAATTCTTAGTGACAACACATTGATAGTTTGATAGGAGCACTTACACCACAGAAATTGGCAAATACTAGAAGTCAACTATTTTTCCCTCAGTTTGCCAACAACTACACCTCTAGTTAGCTGCTATGACCACCACTCTATTTCTATAACTCTAGGGAGAGAAAAAGGAAGAAGAAAAAACAGCAGAGCCTCAACCTATGAGTCAGGAGGCCATGGTTTAATTCCCAGTCAGGGCATGTGCCCGGGTTATAGGCTCTATCACCAGTGTGGGGCAGGCAGCAGGCAGCCAATCAATGATTCTCTCTCATCTCCCTAGAATTGAGGTTTCTATCTCTCTATCTCCCTAGAATTGATACTATACTTATAAGATTTAAATAAGAGTCTCACTGAAGTTTGAATTCTGTATAGCTATGGATTACTTTATAGGCACTAAAAATACTTACCTAGGTAGTAATCACATTTTCCCCATAGAATCTACTGTATACTGTAACCACCAAATAAGGTTTGACAAAGAAATTTACCCCAATTCTTGAAGCAGAAGCTACTTAGTAGAATAACAAAGACTAGGCCAAAGGGAACTGAAAGGGAGGAAGGCAAGACTCTGAAGACTTAGCCATTTCTGTTCTAAACCAAAATAGCTGTCAAGGAGAAACTCTATAGTGTCATGTTTTCAGGCAAGTGAATTATAGCATTCTCATTTACTATAAACTGGTCAGCTGCTGCCACAGCTGTGAGAGTCCTGGGCACAGCTGGGTCTGGAAATTTCTTTTGAAGTCTATCTCTCAGTTATTTCTAGTCCAGAAAATTACAGTCTTCATTTCTGAGCATTCATATTTTTTTTTCTGTGTTGAGTACAGTGATTTGTGGACAAAACTGAAAATAACAGGTAATCAAAGAATTAATGCACTTTACTGGAGATTCACCAAACTGGAAAGTTTTTACTTATCTTCTACAATGTAAATTTTTAAAAATAAAAAGAAATAGGATATAAGACTTAAGTCAGCCTTTGGCAGAAGCCAGCTCAAGAAGAGAGCAAGGGCCACTGCTGATGTCACTATTTTCTCTTGTTTCTCCAGGCGGTTCCCTTGGCTTAGAGTTTCTGAGACAGCTTTCTTACACTCCTTGAAACTATTTTGGGTCCATCTGATTCCATGCTGGCAGTGAAATTCCCAGCTTTGGGGACCATTGTAATTCCCACTGATATGAATCAACCGAGTCACCTCCAAATTAAGTATCATGAGACTACATAGGTCCCTTAGCATATGTAGGGCCAGAGACCTGCACATTTGAGCATCGGATTGTGGGGAAGCTAGAAGAAGCACCACCACTGTAAAGAAAGAAAAACAAAGACAAGTTCCTAATTCAAAAAAAAAAAAAAGAGAGAGAGAGAGAACAGAGTAAATGAGAACTGTGGAATAATTGCTGCTTTCTCTGGTCTGCTATAGAAGATCAGTGATATAGTATAGACCTTTAAAAACTTTGTTTCTATCTCTATTTCCTATCATTGCATAGAACAGATTGTATAAATCCATTCTTCTAAGATGTTTTCCTGTGTGGAATTAACTCTGCAGTGACTCTGAATGGATGTCTCTGACTTATTTTTAAATAACCATTTTAAAGAATAGACAAAGAGTGTTAATATGTATATTCAAATATATAGGAGTAATTAGAGGCCTGGTGCCCAAAATTTGTGCAAGGGATAGGGGAAGAAGGAGTCTCTCAGCCCGGTCTGCATCCTTCACAATCCAGGACCGCTGGCTCCTAACCACTCACCTGCCTGCCTAATTGCCCCTAATGTCGTCTGCCTGCCTATATGATCACTCCAATCTGCCCACCTGCCTGCCTGATCACCCCTAACTGCATCTGCCTGCCTCCCTGATCACCTCTAACCACTCACCTGCCTGCCTGATCGCCCCTAACCCCTCTACCTGCCTGCCTGATCACCCCTAACTGCCTCTGCCTTGGCCTTCACCCACCGTGGCAGCCTCTTTGCCTTGCCCCTGCCTCCTTGGCTTCATCTGGAAGGTCATCAGGAAGGACATCCAGAATGATATCAGGTCATTTGGCTGTCCAGTCTAATTAGCATATTACCCTTTTATTATTATAGATATGCTCCATTATTAGCCATTCCTCTTCCCCTCTGGGATCCCCTTCAAATTCCCTGAACAAAGAACATACCTTTTGTTCATTTTACTCAGTTATTTAATCAAACCCAATAATTCATTCAAAACCCCTGAGAAATCCATGTTCAGTTTCAAATTCAATGAACAGAAACAATAAAATGAAGTCAACAACCTGATGGATCTTCTGTTGGTCTGAACATCTGGGTTCCATTTTCATTACACAAGAAACTGTCTGAGGACAAATTGCCTAAAACTGTAGATTCATACTCATATCTGTATGAACACAGGAAAACATGTTTATGTTAGAAACTAATAAAGGCAATGTGAACATTATGCAGATTAATTCTTGCTTCACTTAAGATACAGTATCCAAATTTAGTAAAGAACTCTTTTCATTGTTGCCACATAAACATCATAAATTCATATCATCAAAAAACTTGCCACTCACTGTAAATGCGTAATCCCTTGACAGCTAGCTTTCAGTTATTTGCATGTGAATGATCTACCTTTCAGATTACCTAACAATCACCATACAAAGAAGTCCTCTGTTAATCATGTCCTACACATTTATAGAGAACTTCCAGATAGTTTGTTGTTGTAATACCACTCTCTGATAAATAAACAAAAAGCCAAGAAACACCAGATCTATGAGAAAACCCTATGTCAGTAAAGACAGTCAAAACAAATAAAACCTGTACACTAGGAGGAAACAGAGACAATGAAGACAGATAAAGGAAATTTATATTCAAAAAGACATTGCACTTTTTAAAAGAAAATAAGATAAAAAGACACATTCAAAACACAAGAGTCCTTGGAAGTTAAAAATGTGATAGCAAAAATTAGAAATCCACTCAAAGTTCTACAAAAAGAAAAATAGAGGGGGTGGGGGTAGAAGAAAGATTACCAAAGAAATAATACAAGTAACTTTTCCAAATGTCTAGAGTGAAGGAATCTAGTACAATGAAGGAAAAGGATTTACACTAAATATCATGAATCCAGACTTTGGAGTTTAAGAGAAAAATCACAAAAGATCCCAGAGAAGGGAAACTGATCATATGAGTGAGAATGGCACAGAAATTTCAACAGTAACACTGGAAGCTAGAAAGTATTGGAATAATACCTTCAGATTTTCTAGGGCAAATATTTCCAATCTAGAATTGTACACCAGCCAAACTATACTATAGTAGAAAGTCAGTATCTAGGACATAACACTAAAGTATCAAAAACTAAAGGGATAAATATTGAGACATTTGGAGGTAAATAGCAGAAGAAAGAGGGAAAAGAGTTTCAAGTAGCAGCCTCTGGAAAGAAGTGATATGGGCAATATCAAAGGGGCAGGGGGCACTCTCTTTTCAATATAATTTTATTTTTACAACTTTGTACACATATGACTTTATTAAAAATTAAAATAAAAATCAAACTTCAGCCGGGACCAATTTGGCTCAATGGATAGAGCATCGGCTTGGGGCTGAAGGGTCCCGAGTTCGATTCTTGGTTGCGGGCATATCCCCAGTAGGGGGTGTGCAAGAGGCAGCTGATCGATGACTCTCTCTCATCGATGTTTCTAACTCTCTATCTCTCTGCCTTCCTCTCTGTATAAAATCAATAAAATATATATATTTTTTAAAAATCAAACTTCAAACTGCTCTGTCTCTTGATGACCTACAATTAAACAGAACCACATTATAATTAAAAGTGTCTAAATAGTCCAAAGAAAGGAGTCATCTCCAATTCTTGCAAGGTCCTAAAAATATTTCAGTCAGACTCAGTTCCATAAAAGAGGTGTCCCAAATTTCTATATCATAAATTAACAAAATTTATGTGACTACATAACTGGAAGCGAGGCAGCCAAGAACACAAAAGGGACTGATGGAACCGAATTTGCATTTTTTGGTTTCTGTTAAGGTGCTCTGAGTTTTGGGGAAGCATTGTTCCTAGAAAGGAAATTCCAAAGCTTCATTTCCTGAAGTTGAAAATTGAATATAAAAAGTCATCAGAGCCTGAATGCTTACCTGCCCATGAGGAAATGAGGTAGAGACTGTAAGAAACACCCAAGGCCCATAATAGCACATCCGATACCAATCATTCTAGGTCTGTGAAATTTCGTTCCAAAATAACTCACAAATATAATCAAAAAAAGATTTCCTAAAGAGGGAAAGTGAGTTAAAAATAAATTATTTCAGTAAGTATGTGTAATAGCTTAATAAGTAGGCTAATTCAATCATTTACTATCTAGCATTCATGGTACAAACACTATCTCTACTACTGGGATTGGTGCTAGGGATTCAGGAAACAAATAAGATACAACCTCTGCCCTGAAGGAGGGCTATTTTATGTGAAGAGCAGCTACAGCATTTGGACAGGGGCAAGCCTCAGACTAATGAGAGGGCACGATCCTCTCATGGCAAAGCCACATGTAAGTCCCAGCACAATTATAGCCTAAGGCTATAGTGGTAAGTTTGACCTTATGGTCTGAACCTGTGGTCCCACGTGGCTGAGTGCTGTGGGCTTGATAGAGTTCAGGTGCATGTAATTGAGTAGATTCGAAACTCACAAAAACCTTATAAACATCTTGACCACACCCTTACTTTGCCTCATGGAATCTGGCTATAAAATAAAAACTCTGCTTGCAGGCCGTGGCACTGTCTCTCTAATCAGAAGGCAGCATCCTACCCCCAGCTTTATTCTCCTGTCTATCTTTTCTAATCCTTTACCCACCCCCCTCCTCCACTCCCTCCAGGTTCACCCATAGCCATGCTGGCATGGCACAATTTTACAATGTTGAAAGACACATAAGCAGATCTCTACGAAACAACAACAATTAAAAAGAGCAGAGAAAGGGAAGCCAGAAAAAGGAATAGAAGACCAATTCTGGGTATTTTTAAAGGCTGTATTTGTGATTGGTTAGCCTTAGGTGTCAGACCATATGTCACCTCAGGCCTCTCTCACCATGCTCGCTGCACAAAATATTATGTTTCCTATGCTTGAAAAAAACAAAAAAAGAAGCAAAAGTCAAATTCAGATAGATAAATGTTTTCTAACTTACCCGTATTTTCCGGCGTATAAGACGACTTTTGAAATGAAAAAAGTCAACCGAAAATCGGGGGCAAAAGACCAAAATTGCACAAAAATTACCTGCAGATCTTGATGGCAAAGTCTTTTCTTTGAAATGGGGGGTCGTCTTATACAGCGAATATAGACCTAAACCTATGTTTTAACTGTAAAATTTAGAGGGTCGACTTATATGCCGGAAAATACGGTATGACTAAAATATAACTTTATATCGGTCAACATAATCAAGTAAGAGATCTGTGTTTATTTCTACTTCTTTCTATAGAAGTAAAAAAAATGTGGCTTCCCCACTTTTCCAAGTGTTCTTAGAAATAAGTCTAGATTTGAGGTGTAAATAACTCAATGTAACATTGATTCCCATGTCATAGGATAAAGAAACTAATTGGGGAAACCCAGTTATTATGGACAAGCCCTTGATAAGTATAGAATAAAGAGCTGAGAGTCAAAAATATTCTTTTGCATCTGTGCCATCCTTTAGACCATGAGCTGAGCTATACAAGACTATGTAAAGAGCTATTTCTAACTCCATCACCTAGCATACAGATGATGCAGGGAGCTGAACACTAAGAGACAGAATCAAGAATCTCCAGCTTCAATTTTGCCTCTCCTCAATCCTGATTTTTCTTTCAGAGATTGATTAACTATATTAAAGGCAACTCTTATCTTGAAGGATGTAGAAGCCATGATAAAACTATAAAGGAGTGGTATTCATATTTTTATACAGCATGTTCACAATCTCCCTCATTCTTCCACTCTGTTCTTAGATCTTCCCAGTCATCCAAAAGAAGCAGGACTTAAGAATAAAATTTATTTTCCCTCAATTCAGGGATATGTGAAAGTAATTTATTCTTCCCTCTGCACTTAGGAAGAATTGTCAGTTTCCCAGAAACAACAGGAGAAGGTAAATATTTGCTTTTCCTTTGGAAAACAGATTCCTTTGTTTTCCATTGTATTTCCTAAGTACCAAGATGGAGCCCTTAAGAGTCATCAAATGATAAATTAAATGTAAATATTATAAATACTTAACTACTTATGCTAGATAACCAGAAACTATTAGAATAAAACGTCCAGTGGGAAACATGTGATAATATTCAGGTGTAATTCAGAAGCAATATTTAAATGAATTATTTCTAAGCATACTCCAAACTTAGCTAGGATATTCAAAATATACTCTTCAGAAAGATTAAATAGCCTAAAACAAATAAGGAGACTAAAATTCAGACTAGCTTTAGAGATAAAATAAATTATAAAAGGAATATGGGAATAATTCATTACCAATCTCAAAACTCCCATTAATAAATCCAACTAGTGATGTCGGAATGTTGAATTGTCTCTCTATTTGTGTGAGCATGGAATTCATATAAGATCCAGATAGTGTTTTGGATACAAATGCACATGTTATTGCCAGCAGAAACATCTAGGAAGAAAAGAATATAAGAAAACATATGAAAATTTTATTTTTAAATTGTATGTTTGCCATCTGTTGACAAAATATATTCTACCACAAGACTGAATTAAGTCTCCAATTTAATTGGCAGTCTTATTAATAAATTGGCAATCAACTTTTTGTTGTTGTTGTCTTTGTTAATCCTCATCTGAGGGTATTTTTTCCATTGATTTTTAGAGAGAGTGGAAGGGAGGGAAGAGGGAGAGAGGGAGAGAGGGAGAGAGGGAGAGAGGGAGAGAGGGAGAGAGAGAGAGAGAGAGAGAGAGAGAGAGAGAGAGAGAGAGAAAGAGAGAGAGAAAAACATCCCTGTGAGTCAGACACATCGATTGGTTGCCTCTAATGCAACCCCAATTCGGGGCTCAGAATGGCCTTGCAACCCAAGTATATGCCCTTGACAAGTAACCTATATAATTGTATTAATCAATGTAACCACAATAAATTCAATAATATAATATATAAAAATAAATAAATATTAAATTTATGATATTGATCCTTTCAGGTTTAATATAATCAAGCCAATGTAAGGGAAGCACATTTTAAATTATGATATTTGTTATTCACACTGTTAGAAAAATATATTGCTACACACACAAAAAAAATCTGATTATTAAGCAATTGCCTCTCAATTTTGCCTGAAAAACTTCTACTTGCATTATTTTGCCATAACCTTCAGATCAATGTCTAATCTTGCCAAACTCAAAAATGATAAAAAATTAAAGACCAACTCTTTATAAATAATACCTGATTTGATTTTTATCCCCAAATGTTATCAATAATAAATAGTTAATATTTATTAAATTTTTACAATATTACAGTCATTATTTCAAGCATGTAAAAAGAAAAAAAATCTCTTGAAATAAGTGTATTTTATTAACCTTCTTAGATGAGAAAACTGAAGCACCAAGAGGTTAAGCAACTTGTCTAAGGGTTGAAGCAAGTAAGCAGTTGAACTCAGATATGAACCCAGGGAGCCTGGGCCTCAAACCTTATTTTTAACCACTCATTTTTAGGAGGACATGACAATTGAGGGATAGCTTAAGGGAAAATTTACAAATATAACGAGTGTGGCATTTCAGACAAAATTCGTTTCCTAAATCTGTATAATAATTCCCCACTTTCGCGTACATGTGTATATTTTCCCTACACAAGTACAAAGAAAAAATAAACCTTTGATAGGGAGAAAATTGCTGGCAGTGTTTTAGTTTAGAAGCTGCTTGTAGGCACTAGCTAGAGAATCAAGATAAATATCCAGATTCCTTGGTTTAAAATAAATTCAGATTTTGCTTGAAGGCAAAATGTGAAAGGAAATTGCTGTGAAATAGTCAAGACATTAGAAACAGCTAACAAATGGACATTTGTCTTATTGAAAATGCTTGGCATGCTACCAAAGCTTGAAGTAAATATTTGCTTTACTTGATCATTGTGGAGTGATCACTGCCTATAGATCAACAATCATTTCTGCCTAGGAACCATTTTCCAGGAGAGATCCCCACATTCCCCTGGCCCAGAAATTCCTGAAAAGGGGGGTAGGGGAGCATTTAATTGGCCTTTGATTTAGGAAAATAAGTACCACTGTAACATTATGTCTGAAAATTTTAAAGACTTTGTCTTCTGTTTAAGTTTCCCCACACTACCTCTGATTAAATTGCCTGAATTGATAACCCTATTTAGATACTCTTTCAGTTATAAAACATACTTCATTAAGGCAAGAAATTATCACCATAACAGGTAGTAGGACGTTAATATTAGATTACTTCATGAACATATGAACAACTTTATAAGATCTAAGTTGAACAAACAAACAAAAATACATTATACATACATCCATGCAAAAGATTCCATACCTTCAACTTGGAAAAACATCTTACTCTATGGGTTTCAATTTTCTCAGTTTCTCCCATGTCGCTCTTCTGAGTGTTCCAAAGTTATTTATGACTTAAATCTTGATATTTCTTAGTTCTATTGTTTTAAGAAGACAAAAACATATTAAATTACTAACAAACTCCTAAGTCGTCATTCTTTTGAAGAAAGTACTAAATTTGAGTAACACAATCGGAATCCATTGTACAAAAATACCTGGGAAGCTTTTGATCTACTTCTAGAAAATGATGACGTTTAAGATTTAGTTGTTAAGTTCCCATTGAAAAAGTCACATCAAATAACTTTAGTTACTCTTTAGTGAGATTAAAGATAGAATTATTTGTTATGATCTCTTACAAAATAATGACCATGTGGTTAAAAAAAAAAAAAAAAAAAAAAAAAAAAAAAACCTTTCCTTTCTTTAACCAAAACAAATAGAACCAAAGTGCACTTTCTTTGGACTTCCATGAAAATGCTGCTTTTGAGAACACACAGACTTTGATTTGTGTTTGTGCTACAACTCTGCGTCAGCGAGCCTACCAAAGTTCAAAAAAATCTGTTTGGCTAGGCTCCTTCTTCAAGTTCTTTTCGTTCCAATACTTCCCTGGAGTTTTAAGAAGGGAAGCACTTTCTGGGGCACTGCTGGTTCACAGAAACCTGGGGAGACATGGAATTTTAATTATGGAAATAGCCTAAGTAAAAACAACAAATAGTTCTCTGATCTGGAAAAGAATCCTACAGTAGCAAGATATGAGGCTTAGGAGAAGACTAAACATATATGTAAGTGCAGATCTATGTAATAAATATAGGTATATGTGTATCTATAAGTATATATATATATATATATAAATGATATAGGCATACATTTTTATATGTAAAACTTTACTTAAACTCTACTCAATTTTATTAACGTCTTTTTAAAATTTTGTCTATTTTGAGTCTTGAAACTAAGACAACATTTTGTACCAAAACCAACGTGTTTCACTATGACAATATTTATTCTAGTAATCTTTTTTAAGAAAAGAGAATAATATATTAGCATTATTCCCCAAGTTACTTTATGAAAATCCTCTAAGCAATATCCACTTAACAAATGATTTTAAATGCACTTATTTTTAAAGACCTTACTGCTTTACCTCTGTAAGTTTGCTGAATTCTATTCCCCTACATACGTAAAGACAATAAACACTGCATAGTGGACGAGGTTAGTTCTCTTTTCTCATGCTATGATGGACAAAATTATATATTGAAAGTCTACTGTGTGCCAGTCACAGCATTAAGCACAGGGTTTTGGAAATGAACAAGACAGACTGGCTATTCTATAGACAATATGAACTAATTAGAGACCTATAAGGTTCTGTGGAAAGCACTTCTACCCAGATCCCAAGAAACCTATATTTTAATTGGGAATGGTAAAACTTTTAAATAAAATGCACTAGAATAGAACTAAACAGTGTGTTGTCAAATTACAAATGTTTTGGTATGTAATAAATTGAAAAAAAATCATGTATCATTAATGGAAATTATTAAAAACACTCTTGGCAATTCCAAATGGCCCCACAGATGAACTCATGCTGCCATCTCCACATAAAAATGTCAAAAATCTTAACCAAAATTCAAGTGCAAGAGCTAGTTTTGAAAAAAAAAAGAGAGAGAGAATAGGATAATTTTTCAAATGAATAAAAACTGCTCCTTTTTGGCCCTCATCTGTAATACCGATGCCTTTATTACACAGAAACCTCTCAGATGCTCTCTCCTCTTCCTTCTCATGACCTAGAATCCAATCTCACTCCCCTTTTCTCCTTCTATCTCTCCTTGCCAATATCTGAGCCCAAAATAGTCACCCAATCAAAGAATAAGAGAGGAAGAGAACTTATTCCTCTTCCATGTCAAAGTTGTCTTCATTATTTTTAGTGGCTAAAAGACATGACTCTTCTAAATGCCTATGTTTTCCTATCCAACCAGGGGACATAGAAGGTCAAGTTAGTGACACAGAAGATCACCCCATGGTAGAATACTGTAGCTCCTTCTAAGCATCGTGACACTGTGGAACCATCTTGAGCACATTGTATCACCATGCCTCCAAGATTTACTTCAAAATGTCTTTGCTCTCTTGAAGGATGTCTTATAAACAAACGTGTTGACCGGGATGAAAGCCAGTTTGAAACTAATCCCTTGGAATGAATTCAATGTGATTCAATTAACACTGAACATTTTCCTCATTTGCCAGCTTATATAGTGAAAACATTTTAGCTTTTCATACACACTTTAATAGAGAAAAATAGATTCATTAACAGTAAAATTTATTGTTCCTTTAATAAAATTCATGGTACCCAATAGTTAACATCACAATCACTTTGAGCATTTTGGCTGCAAATCAGGGGAAGCATGCATTGTTTCTTCCTATCCGTGACAAGGGCAAGTGCCAGCCCTGTGAACAATCCCCTTTTGTTAGCACAGGGTGTTTACATGGTGACTTTTGCTCCCGGGACCACAGTGCCACAGATAAATCCCCATCAATCGTCACAGTTAATGAAAACGACTTGCTGAAGCTTTATTAAGAGAAGCATTTTATTTCTCTAACCCCATCTCAGCATTCAAGGGGGAGCGGGAAATGCTTCAGTTTGCGTTCTCACAAAAAAAATGTGGTTGCATTTCTTCCATGTCTATTGATCACAACTTTGAGTTTCTTTTTTTGTTTTGTTTAGTTTTGGTTTAATTGTAATCAAAGCACATCGCAGAATTGTTAACTATATACGCATTTGGGGACAGCAGGTCTCTAGAACGGTTCCTCTTGCGTGCCTGGAACTCTGAACAGCAGCACTCGGGTTTTTGACACTCCTTAGTTGCCAGCTTTACCAAATCTCAATCACAAAAGAATACAATTTTTTTACAAAACAAATAAAGCACCTTGTTTGTGCTCTTTCCCCAGTGTTAGATATATAGATACCATTTTTTTTTAAGACTGGGAAATGCATACATTTAATTTTAAATCATAGTATTGAAGTAATCAAATAAAGGCTTTACTTTATCGTGGCAAAACTAGCAGTACATACATGAAGAAGACTTAGGAGAACATCCTTTCCCTGGGGGAAAAAGAGAGAGAGAGTCATACCAGCAACATCTTAAGAAAATGGTTTATTTCCAGAATCTTCAGATGGCTTCTCCCTCAGCAAGAAAAAGGACAGCCTCTTGGGAGTATCCAGCTGAAATAATTCAACCAATACCAAACCAAGCCAGCCTGTGCCAATGGAGCACACGGAGAAGCAACAATGACTCTTTGTGTCATGCCTACAAAAATTACTTTACTTCTTTTAGTTCGTTTTCTTCAGAAATTAGAGAATATAACATTGGATTCTGCAAATAAGCCTTACAAATACAGATATTATTTTACTTCTCATGGTTAGAGGAGGTAACAGGGATGCATTGCTCTAGGCAAAATTTAACTGAGCCATATGGCCATGCCTGTGATTTCTCCATGCCAATCAAAGAGAGAAATGCACAGAAACACAAGCAAAATAAATATACCTGCTCTGTTACTTCAGATTACTTACTGCCTGGCGGAAAAGCCAAACTGATACTCTGCTTCCCAATTCTTCAGGAAAACTGGCTGTGAGTATCATCAGCGTTATGCCCAATGCAAATAATGCTAAAGAATGATCAGGTTATTATCAGAGTTGCCAATCTTTGCTACACGGGCAATTTAAACTATTTTGTTTCCTTTAAAATTTTTAAAAAATATATTTTATTGATATTTTACAGAGAGGAAGAGAGAGGGATAGAGAGCCAGAAACATCAATGAGAGAGAATCATCAATCAGCTGCCTCCTGCACACCCCCCACTGGGGATGTGCCCCCAACCAAGGTACATGCCCTTGACCAGAATCGTACCCGGGACTCTTCAGTCCATAGACTGATGCTCTATCCACTGAGCCAAACTGGTCTCAGCTGTTTCCTTTAAATTTTTTTCCAATTATTTTTGTCCTTTTGCCTGCACACACATAGTTTTGGTTACAGAAACATGTTCCTTCACTTAATTATGCCAAGTAAATACTGAATTCTTCCTTTTCCTCAGAGAGAAAGGAGTTTTTATCTGTTCACAAAGCTCCCAAAATAACTGAAAATCCAAAATGGTCAGATTCCACCACCATCTCCCAACCCCTCACTCCACCCAACCCTTTTATTTGTGTATTTTCCCATTCACATTAATAGATATGGAAAGACAGCTAGAAATAATTTTTTTTAAATGTCAGACCTTGAGGGCCAGTCAGCTTGGGTTTAGTACTAGTTTAGTTGTGTAGTTTAGTTGTGAGTTGTTTAAACTCATTGAGCCTTTTTTTTTTTTAACTTATCTATGGTACTAGAATATTTATTCCTGACTTGTAATATAAGTATAAAGACTGAGTTATAAATTTTAGATGGGGTCAATCCCTAGCATAGCTGCTGGCATAAAATAATCACTCTGTAAGTGGCAGTGATTATTATTCATTCATTTCACAAATATTTATTAAAGCTCTGCTACATTCCAAACACAGTAGTTGGTGCTAGTGATGCAAAGATGAATAACATAGGTGCTTGTTCAAAAGTTGTCTCACCAACTACTGGGAGAGATGGACAATTAAATGATAATAATTGGAAGCTAGGGCCATAACGCAAACAATTGGAGCTAAGTAATTAGAAGATGATTATTGAAAACTATTTGGATGTTCATTTGGAATATCATTTGGATATGGTGTAGTAGTGTAAGTATTTGAGCTTTGAAATGAAGCACAACTGGTTTGAAAGCTTATTGTTAAACTAGCTGTGTGATGTTTGTACAAGTCTCTTTTCCATCCATACAATGGAGATAGTATCTGTCTTGATATCAGACAAAACAGACAAAGACAGGAAAAAATAGGACCCAGAAAAGGCAATTCAATGGAAGAATTTTACATTCTAGGAAACACGTTACAAAGGTATCAAAGAATTAAAAAAAAAAAAAAAAAAAAAAAAAAAAAAAAAAAAAAAAAAAAAAAACCAGCAGATTTACATTGGTGGAAAGT